CGTGATGGCATTAAGAATTTATTTTCACAGTGTGGAGGTGTGCTTATTTGAATGAAAGAAAATCAATACAAATCTTTATAGTCAATCAATAATGGGTATATATGAGGTCAATTACTAAGGGAAATATCTACAGCTAGCACGACAGGTCTGACTGTGATAATTTATCAACTTATATTAGCTTTGGGAACCAAAAAAGCAAACATTTAAAAGCGCTCTGCCAAATTAAGAGTCTGTAGCCAACCGTAGGGGTTGTGGAAAAAGCATGCCAATGTTGGGCAAAATGGCATTTGTAGTAGGCATTTTGCAAAAATCAAAACAGAGAATATGAGAACACTGACAAAAGGTTAGAGAAATTCAGACAAAAGGTTAGAGATATTCAGTAGCTGGCCTTTCATTTAGTCCTCACACTAGTGTTTCTTAACATTTTACAGAGAGTACCCCTGCCCCAAGAATGTAAATTACTAATGAAATGTGTAGACACTGATATTTAAGTTAATTTCATCTTGGAGAAGAAGTCTGACTAAAGGTAGTTAATAATACTTTTTAAATAAATGACATATTGTGAATATTTTGTATATAAGGGTGAGTGCATGAATTTTTCTGAAGTGAATCTAGATCTGAAGTGTAAAATTATAATACACATATAATCGTTACACACAGAGGACACTGACAAACACTCAAAGAGGACATTGAGACACACAGTTACAGACAGAGGACACTGATACACACAGAGGACACTTAGTATTCCTGAACAGTTAATGGATACCTTGTATAAGACCTACATTGTATCACCCCCTGCTCAAACTACGCTATAATCCCTCAATTAGGGTAAACATTCAACAACAGGATATGCCACCAACTTCCAGTGTGGTGCTGTGGATACCATCTGCAGTAAATCCACCCTCCTGCATCTGTGACAATTTGGATTCTGTTACAATTTTAAAATTTTGGAAGGACTAAAATACAAGCTGGTGTAAAAAAAACTTAATCAAATAATTTTTATATAATTTTTCCAATGTTTGCTGATTGCCTAAATTATTTGGTTTGGTTATTACTTACTGTGTTTCAAACACCCAGAACTCAAAATTGTTCATGTATTTGCAAATATTGTTTTGCAGGCAGAAAGCTGAGCCCTTGGAAACGAGGCCTTTGACTCAACTATTTTGCCAGAGAACCCACTGTGCTCAGCAAATGTGTTGTGGCATAAAATTAATCGCTATGTTATTGTTCTCATTGGTCTAAATGAGAAATTCCACTGAGAAAGTGTCACATTAAGTTTGCCCAGGAACAGTACTAGTTTAAATTGATAAAACAAATGTCACAAGCAAACAGCTACATGGGTTTTGCAGAGAAATGTCACAGACTTTACTTCACAAAATAAAATAGCATGTAGCATCTGTAAGGAATTTACCTACAATGCTGAATAAAATCAAAAGTGATATCAAAAGTCTAAAATAAAATAAAAACTATTTTACAACATTGGAGAATATGAAGGCTACCTCCTAAAAATTGACTGATCAGAGCAACTGTTATTGCAACAGTCTGGACATGGGATGCCGGCAGAAACAACATGGCTTCCAAGTACACTTCCTCCTAACATCCTGAATAACATAAAAAAATCTTATGATGACATAGTACTTTATTTTTATTTGACAATTTTCATTGTTCAGCTTTAACAGTGAAGCATTGTAACATATTCGGTTTTGCACTGTGGTAAGGTTGGTACTTCAACTTGCATAGTACAATGTTAGGGATACAATACAGATTTGCGTTGCTGGTCCTATAGACATTGTAGCGGTGCTGAACAACAATGGCACCTAATAACATACTTTACATATCATACAGAACTGAAATTTAATTTATTAAAGATGAACCAGAATAGGTAGGGGGAGGAGGGTGGGAATCGTGTGTATAACTATTGGCTAATTGTGCAGGGGTGGGGAGAGGAGCGTCAAGGTCACTCTTTTGCGCTGCCTATGCTGGCTCTGGGAAGATGGTAACCATTTAGTGGTGTGGAGGCTTCTAGTTGTCATTCTTTGGCTTTCCTCAGTTCAATAATATCATTTTATTAAGAACATTACTATAGAAATTAGCAGAGTTTAAAAATATATCCCACTCTAGCTTTCCAATATAGTTATGTGACCTTCCAGTGGGTAATTGTAATGCATTCATTCAACAGTTTGCTGTAAAGAACTCAAAGCAGTGCCAGAGACAAAGCAGTGCCGGACTCAAAATTTTCCAAAATATATTGATGTAAGTTGCTTTGGTATCATGAGAATTTTCCATATTTGAGTTGAATGGAGTTGAGCCAGCTGGACACCAATTATTAATTGCAAAGGATTAGTCACGTACGACTAAGGATGATTCCCTGAACCATGAAATCATAAGCAATTGCATATTTTAGGTTAGAATAGCTAAATTGGAAAAATTAACCAGTTCAGCTATTTGAGCAATTTGAATTCTTTGGTCAATTATTGGCTCAAAGCATATACTAAATACACTGTACTCAGCTGACAACTGTTCTGAAAAATGTTGATTGAAATAGCATTTTTGTTGGCAATTCTCTGTTAACTCAATCTTTGTCAAATAAACACCTTTAAGATTACTGGATGTAATATATTACCAATAATGAATTCACCACCCTGATTATTATTTTATTATTTATATAGGGCCATCCGATTCTGTAGCGCTGTACAATGGGTGGACTAACAGACATGTAATTGTAACCAGACAACTGGACATACAGGAACAGAGAGATGGAGGGCCCTGCTCAATGAGCTTACATTCTAGAGGGAGTGGGGTATAGTGACACAAAGGGTAAAAGTAGGGGTACGAAGTAGGTTGTTAGAAAAGTATTCACTAAGGGCTTAGTAGGTAATTTTGACAGTTGCAGGAGAGGAGTCATGGGGGGTGGGGGATAAAACCTGCTAACAGTTTAATTGATATGCTTTCTTGAAGAAGGACAGGACTCTCTGGTTCACTGGTGTACTCTCTCACTATTATGGACACTGGAACTGCATCCCATTAGTTGTAGCCAGACACATCCTGTCTGAGATGAAAGCAGATAAAGTCTACAACATATTGTAGGTAGACTCTAACTCTACAAATAAAAACAAAGATAAAAAAGGGCTGCACCACAATAAATAGTGAGTAAATAAGCAATGTCCAATTCCAATAAAGGAAGCAAATATGAAAGAAAGTCCAACCTAAGTATTCTCACGGTTCGTCTTAAAGTGTTGAATGCAAAGTAAACACTCTAAGACGAACCGTGAGAATACTTAGGTTGGACTTTCTTTCATATTTGCTTCCTTTATTGGAATTGGACACTGCTTATTTACTTACTATTTATTGTGGCGCAGCCCTTTTTTATCTTTGTTTTTATTTGTCTTGCTTTAAAGGGTTTGGAGGGATTCCCTTTTTAAGGGTTGCTGCCTGTTGGTTAACCAGCGCTGTCTCTTCTTTTTATTTAGACTCTAACTCTTTGCCCAGTTGATGCTAACTCTATTGATGGTATTTAAATAGAGTTGTAATTATGGTGTGCTCTTAGGAAAGGAGTGCCTTTTCAGCCTTGCTCATGTGATGCTTAAAGGGACACTGTAGACACCCAGACCACTTCAGCTCATTGAAGTGGTCTAGGTGCAAACTCCGATCACCCTTAACCCTGAGCATGTAATTATTGCAGTTTTTATAAACTGCAATAATTACCTGCTAGGGTTAACTCCTCCTCTACCAAACAGCCACTAGAGGGACTTCCGAATAGATAGGCGACTTTTGGTCTCCTAACCGACGCTGGACATCCTCATGCAATGCATGAGGACTTCCAGCATCATGGGAATCCCCATAGAAAAACATTGAATAATGCTTTCCTATGGGGAAATCCTAATGCGAGCGCGGCCATTGCAGGGCATGCGCATTAGGTCTCCCCCACCGACATCAGAGGAGCGTGGACGGAGCTGAGCCAGCACCGTGGGATATTAGCGCTGAACCCAGGTAAAGAGGAGTGGGGGGGGAGGGAGGAGGGGGCTTGACAGAGGGGAAAGCTATAGTACCAGGAAAGGGAATTTGTTTTCCTGGCACTATAGTTTCCCTTTAACATTGTGAATTTGCTGTTCTAAAGGTAAAGTTTTAAAGGCCAACATCCAAGACAAAAAAGGTTACCTGTGCACTATCCCAAATCTCTATGCACATTTTAAGAAAGCTATTTAATATCACTGCAATGGTCATTAACGTGATAATGCTGTATCAAGGCAAACCTCTTCGGTAAGTCTTCCGCTAATAAATCACCTTGATGTTTTCAGCTAACATTAGACAAAAAAAGATGTGCCCTATTAAGGGTTAATTTGTTTGCAGGGGTTCATAGGAATTGCCATTTCTGTCTCTCTAGAGATTTTGCCTTTAAGCTGAAAGTAGCAAGATGAATAGTTACAACTGCCTTGGCGTGACAGGTGAGCTTACACTTTAATGGCTTTTGCAGTGGCACTAACAACCTGTTATTTAAAAGTGCTTGGGAATGTGGGATAACTTTTCTGTTTTTTTTTCTATGTATATGGTATGATGAATACAATAACCATTACTGCCACCCAAGAGTAGTGAGAGTTGGAGTGCAGTGTTATATCAGGTCCACTGAACCCTAGGTTACAACTACAGTACAGTCATATATTATTAAGCTATTACTTAAAATAATATCTAAAGACTTGCTCTATGATAGTAATTACATACTGCAGACATTTTCTTAGATATCCATTTTTACATCACAGTAATTTTTCTGGACACACTTTTCACATACACATAAAAGGTACCATAATATTAAATGTACTGCCTCAACGGGTAAAAGCACATACAGGAAAGACATAGAGTGATGCCATCCAAAGCTGTGTCTCAGATAATAGTTATCCACTAGCCAGCATTTAAATCTTCCAGGGACAACATCTAGTCTGTTTTACAATAAAATATTTAAGCAGATTGCCCCTTGTGCTGTGTGGGGAGAAGGAGGAGGGGAAGAAGGGATGGCTACACACAGATCGCTTTGGGTACCACAGTGCAGACAACCCACAGCATCCTGTGATGGAGAGAAATATTCTGATTGGCTCATCGCGTCAGCACAGAGAGGAAGTGAGTAGCAGGCATCAGATGGGTGGAGAAGCATCTTTGTGATGATGTCTATGATGCTGCAGCCTACACCTTCTAGTTCCCCCCTTCCACTCGCCGCCCCCCTGACGCCCTCTACCGGCTCCCACGCTCCCCAGGGCTCCCAATAAACCTTCTGCCTCCCCCCTCCATCCCTCCTGCCCGTTAATGCCTTGGCACGGGGTGCAGAGCAGGAGGCCATGCCCTGGGGTGTTGGTCTAGTCCCGTCCAGGTCGTGCGTGGTTGATCTGAGCCGGAACCAGAGCCTGTCCCTGTGCTGGTGTGCGGGGTCCGACGAGCCTTTCTCCTTTTATGGGGACATCGTCGCTTTCCCTGTGCAGGATCCGGCCGGCGTTATGTCAGGGCTGGGGACAGACACCTGGTGGAAAAAGACGCTTTATCTGACCGGGGGGGCCCTGCTGGCCGCCGCTGCCTACCTCCTGCATGAGCTGCTGGCTATAAGGTGAGCTGGGCCCCATCACAGGCAGGGGGCTGACAATGTGCAGAAATAACAAGGATTCACACACTGAATTCCTGCTTTATCCACTGAATAAAACTGCAGGAGCCACCCTGCCCTACAGGCTTTGCTTGGACGCGTTTTACCTTGGATGTAAACACATTAACACACACTCGGTTTATTGTATGAAGTTAGAGATGAGGGTGGGAAAAGAAAAACATATATACTCTGTCTTGCTGTGGAAATCAGCTAGGATTATAAAGTAAGGAGTGATGCAGATGCTATGTAAGATATATAGTCTTATCCTCTATTTGGGATAGTGTTTAGGATCTAGGAAATAGATATAATTTAAGAAATACAAGATAACTGGAATTTTATATCAAGACACAGGCTGGCATTGTCTGATTGTAATCCTTTAGGAAATCTAAGAGAATTCTGAACGTTAGGCCAAATGTACATGAACTGGAAAGATTCGAGAACTTCCTGTTTGGGAGGGGGGGAGGGGGGGGGAGGGATTATTCACTAAGCAGTGAGTTGCAGTTTAATTATAGGCAAATATGTTACAAAATCAAAGCTAGAAGGAGCAGTCTGTGGCTATACTTGAGTTTGAGAATTTTTAAAACTATATTATTTTGGAGTATGTTTTGAAATCAGTTTTTTTTTCAGTTCACTACTACTCTCTTAATAAATAAACCCCATAATAACGTTTTATGTTAAACCATCAATTGTTGGGAATTTACCAGGAAATGAATTCACCAGGGAATCTAAATGTTAAGACCAAAATAGCTGACCTTCACAGTCAGACATGGAGATTTTTTTCAATATGATTGTTGTGGCATTCTATTGCCAAATCCCTGGTGAATTCCTGACAATTCACAGTTTAGTAAATACGTTCCCAGTGTTTGAGATGATTATTGAGTAAACCTGCTTGTTTTAAAATATTTTGCTATTTTTTTCTTTTAAAGATTTGCAGGGTTATTCACGAAAGGCAAAATTTAAAGTGAATGCAAAGGGAATTTCAAATTCAAGGTCAAAATAGCCAAACTGGAAAAAATCTCTTATTCAGTTATGCTTCCATATAAGCAACTTTGTATAGTCAGGTTCTGTCTGTTATTTTACCATAATTATCATCGTTAGATACAAGCCATAATTAAGATAATCAATCTTAGCTCCATAGTACTGGCTAAACAGAACACATTGATGTATAGTTCAATCATTAATGCAGAAGGGTAAGTCTCTACTTTAGGGAATACTAAAAAGTAAAATATCAATCTGGCACTCTCACTGGCAGGCAATATATCCTTAGAAAACTTTGTAAATAGATACAATAAAAATTATTGTGTTTATGCTGTTTGAAAAATGTCCACTATAAATCAACAGAGGCCAAGGACCTAGATTAAAAAAACAAAAAACAAAAAAAAAAAAACCTTTTATGGGTTTTCACTGCCTTGAAGAGTAATAGGACTCCAAGAGAAATAGACCCATTGTAGAATATTCCTTAAGTAAATCAATATATAAAATCCATATTATAGACTGAGTTTTATTAGGTTAAAAGGCCTTCTTTCCTAGCTGTAAATGTTAGTATTTTAAGTCACTATATGTAGTCATGTTAGAGGCCATATTACTTTAGACCTCAACTGAGGTCACTCCTTGAACTTTAGCAAGAGTTGCTGATAAAAAAAAGTGATCATTTAACACAAAATAATGCAAGAGTCATTTCAGGAAACAATTTTGAAATGTACTGGAGCTGTGACATAATTAAACTAACAGCTGCAGCTTCTGACTGCAGAGGATACTGTGATTGGTGCCTAGTGGACCCATGGTAAACTGTCAGAATATACACAGTTTGATTACTGAATCATAAACACAACAGTGGGCCATAAGGATTTTGATATTCATTTCATTATCAGCAGTCTTCACCAGCAGGATGAATTACACAGCCTCTGTCCATGGTTCTGATATCAGAGTTAAACCTTGAAGTAATGACAGTCCAGTCACTATTCAAACACTAAATGTACATAGAACATACAAGTATTAAAGATCTGTTAGGATTTGACTTGTGCTTTTTTTTTCCCAGCAGAGTAGGTGAGGACAATATGTATTTTTATTAGACAGAACCCATTGTTCTGCATACTTGTGACTTCTCCAGGTTTTATTCAAATACTACAGTAATTGCTAGATCAGACATAGGCAACCTTCGGCACTCCGGATGTTTTGGACTACACCTCCCATGATGCTTTGCCAGCAGTATGGGCAAAAAAGCATTATGGGGGATGTAGAGAGAAAGACTGGAATGGGTTAACTAAACAGCGCACCCGATATCCGTCCAGGTACCCTTATATAGGCTGCTCTGCCAATGATAGGCAAAAGAGTGCCTTTTTAATTAAAGAGCAAAAAAAGACCTATAATTTTATTAAATCCCTATTTGGGTAAGAAGCAAAAAAAGGTGCATAAATAAACAATGTGGGTATAAAGTGCAAAAACGAAAAAATAATTAGTTAAAATAACTGAAAGTATGGGTCTCTAATTTTAATGTACAAATTCAGACAGATATACTTGTATATACCTCATGGGTCGAAAAAAGGAGTACAATTATAGGTGGCAAAATTATTGGAATATTTGGGGAAATACAGAGCAGTGTGCCCCAGATTTGGTAATAGAGGTGTTCAGTATTGTGTAGCTTCAAAGCAGTTTGGGATACACGAGATAATATGTAGATATCTCCCTGTTCTGACTGAAATAGTCTCAGCTAGCTATCTCACAATTAACTGTCTATGAAGATACTGTCCTGAACCTAGCTAAAAATTTAGCTGAATAGTTCTCAATTAAATTCCCCCGATCAACCTCCCATAGTTTCCTAACCAAGATTAAGATAGAGAAATAGCAAACAGCAGTGGTCCTAATCTAAAAGAATCCACAGTAGTGGGAACTAGCCCAGTGGATTCTGTAGACTCTTTAAGATTAGCTAGGTTCCGGACAGTATCTTCATAGACAGTTAATTGTGAGATAGCTAGCTGAGACTATTTCAGTCAGAACAGGGAGATATCTACATATTATCTCTTATATCTGAAACTGCTTTGAAGCTAAACAATACTGAATGCATCTTTTTGAGGTGGCTGAATGCCAGCATAGAAGCTGGAGCAGGGACTATTCTGCTGGAACCGTTAATACTTTTTCAAACGTAGCCGATACTCTGCTCTAGATACCATGAAAGAGCAATCTACTATGATTGGTATCCCGAGCATCCTATTGTAGGAGGGAGCTTATCCTTGCTGGTTTAGTCACCTATTTGGAATTAATCAGGTGTACTTATACCACATTAGGCTCCTTCTATATATTTTGTTTATCTACATGTGTAGAGGCATTGTAATACCCCTGCATACTGTCGAGCAAGCTATTCTCACGGCTTGCAGCATATATGAACCATTGGGATATTATCATCAGGGAATAATTTGCTGCTACCCCGTTTATTTTCACTGCTAGCTTCCCGACTGCCCTATTACCAAATCTGAGGCACGCTGCTCTGTATTTCCCCAAATATTCCAATAATCTTGCCACCTCTAATTGTACTCATTTTTTTGACCCTTGAGGTATATACAAGTATGTCTGTCTGAATTTATATATCAAATTACAGACCCATACTTTCAGTTATTTATAACTTTACTTGCAGGGTGCTCTGCACTACATATATACTTAGAAATCATACTATTATATCCTCTTGACAGTATCCACTTTGCACTAGTCTCAGACTCAGACCGGCACTTTGTAGCAAATTTTGTTGCAACATTTCATCAAACCTGTCTCAGTTTGTACCACCACCTACGTGGATAGTCAGTTATGTGGATACCATCGATCTAAACACCAGCAGTTGGTCCTATTTTAACTAATTATTTTTTAGTTTTTGCACTTTATTCCCACGTTGTTTATTTATGCACCTTTTTTTGCTTCTTACCCAAATAGGGATTTAATAACATTATAGTTCTTTTTTTGCTCTTTAATTAAAAAAGGCACTCTTTTGCCTATCATTGGCAGTTCACTCTCTGACCTTGGAAGCTTTTAATGATATCCGTTAGAAAGCAAATATTCATGTATGTTCACATCACTTCAAGAGATGTGAGCACAAGCAAATACCAGTCAGGATACAAAAATACAGCTTTTTTGGTAAGTGTGGAGTCTTTTAATGACTGAATACAATTCTAGAATGTTCATATCAGGGAATACTATCAATTGCTAGTTGGACTTTGATTAATTGATTACTGAACTGAAAGAAAACCTGAAACCCCTTTATCTATTTCATTACTGAGTTATGGCTTAGGATACACCATTTGCACCCCTAGCATTGATTTGCTACTTCAAATTTCTGAAAAGCAAAATTATTTTAAAGGACCACTATAGTGCCAGGAAAACAAGCTTGTTTTCCTGGCACTATATAGTCCTTAGGTCCCCTCCACCCTCAGGGTCCCCCTCCCGCTGGGCTGAAGGGGTTAAAACCCCTTCTGCCACTTACCTTAATCCAGAGACGGGCTCCCTTGGCGCTGGTGACCTCCCCTCCAACGTCAGCTCCTGAGTGGCCAGAGCTGCGCACGCATTCAAGCTGCCCATAGGAAAGCATTACTCAATGCTTTCCTATGGACGTCAGCGTCATCTCAGTGTGATTTTCACACTGAGAATTGCAGAACTGGCCTCTAGTGGCTGTCAGGAAGACAGCCCCTAGAGGCTGAATAAACCCTCAGTGTTTCTCTGAGACTGCTGTGTTTGCAGCTGCAGGGTTAAAACCTGGGGGACCTGGCACCCAGACCGCTTCATTGAGCTGAAGTGGTCTGGGTAACTATAGTGGTCCTTTAAGTTACAGTAAATCATTAAATGCCTCTGATAATAAATATACATTGTAAATGCATTTTGTTCAGCAAGTTTGTTATTTTTAAAGTTGAGTTTTACCATTGGCTTATTTAGACTTCACAACCTAATTACAAATACCCATCACATATGAGAAAAGTACAAAAGCAAACGCACAGTTCTTATGCCCCCACTGGGAAGCAAAGAATTCTCTAACATGGTTATTTACTGAAGTGAGAATTCAAGATTAATTCAAAATTTAAGACCGATCTGAAAGCATAGCTGACAGAAATTTTTTCCAGTTCAGCGGAATGGGGGCATTAAATTTGAAATCAACTTTGAATTGAGCTTGAATTCTCAACTTTCGTGACTAACCCTGTAACCCTCAGTATCAGTAAAATCAAATTCAAAGTTAGAAATCTGTTTAGAAAGGAAGAACGTTTTGTATGCTTAATTGCCCATTTATAAGATATAAAACACTGAGCTTTAGGTTTTTTACTCATTTAATTACACCACACATATCCATATCAAATGTTTTGTATTTTTAACAGAAAAGAACAGGAAGTTGATTCCAAAGATGCAATCATTCTCCATCAGTTTTCACGGCCAAACAATGGGGTTCCAAGTTTATCTCCATTCTGTCTGAAAATGGAAACTTACTTACGAATGGCTGACTTACCATATCAGGTAAAATGTACATAATTGTATTTGTTTATTAAGAAGACAAGTTTATATTTGTTTTTCATTTGATTAAAGGCACAACCTAACCATCATCATATTTTTGTCTTAACTGGAGGATTCCTCAATGCCTAACATCCAAAAACTTAAATTTGAGATGTGCTGGTAGCTTACGCAATGCCCTGAAAGTCTCTGAGTACTCAAGCATAGGTTGATTCAGTTGTCAAATCACAACACTCCTTTTGGTGATGATGAACTGACAGAGGCTCTCTGTGTTAATTATTTGATGCCCCTGTGGTCAGTGGCATTTTGACCTTGCCAAAACAGCTGCCGTGATTTGATGTGGATAAATGATGTCTGGAGAACCTCTAAAGGGGAAGTAGCTAAAATCAAACAACCAATCAGGGACCATGGTTTAACTGTAACTGTAATACTGTTGAACTTTTTGGTGGCTTTCTAATAACAGTTATTTTGGTCATTATCGTGAGAAAAAATCTGAGGGGGTCGAAACGTCGGATCTCCACCTGGATCACATTTTGTTTTAAAATATTTATATATACCTATATACAGTCCAAAGAGAGGCCCATTTTGGGTACTATAATCCAAGAAAAGTGCTTAATTCAATTAGTAAATGTGCAAAAGTAAAGTCGATGTTTCAGTCCCACTGATAGACTTTTTCTTTTGCTGTTAAATGAGCTGCTAATGTGAAAATTATGAATAATTTAAGCTGTAATGTAAACAAAGGCACTTTTCAGGTGTAGAATCATACTGCTACTGGCTCCTTCCCAGTGATTTTGTTAAATTCTTGTATGACTCATACTGTTAGTGGCTGCCTTTCTCTAACCTACTATTGATTAGAGCAGTGTTTCCCAACCCAGTCCTCAAGGCACACCTACCAGTCCAGGATTTAGGGATTACCCAGTTGTGTCTAAGGTGTTTTTTTTCTTCTTTGTAAAAACACCTTAGACACAACTGGGTAATCCCTAAATCCTGGACTGGTAGGTGTGCCTTGAGGACTGGGTTGGGAAACACTGGATTAGAGTATGTCCACTGTTGATCTATATACATCCAGGATGAGTAAAGGGATATTATAGGACTAGGAATACAACTCTGTGTTCCTAGCACTACTCCCCTATGCCTCCCCCATGCATGCATTTTGCATTTTGTTCCATTTCATTTTCCAGATAATTTTGCTAACTTTAAATTGGAAGAAGCAAGTATGCTGTTTGGTGGATACTGTTTGCGATAATATTAATATGTATGGAAGATTTGTTAAGCGTAACCCAATTTACAATAGAACCAGTTAAGAAATACAATATTGAACTATTTTAATGCCCAGGTATCTTGCAAACATACAGCAAATGGTATCAAGATTGTGGGACCTGAGGCTTCAGACACAAAAATAAATAATATCAAGCATATTCTTGAACACACGCATAGAACATGTGGAGATCCTCGTTTATCTGGTGTTGTGGGTACCATTAACCTTTCAAGTCTGGAGGGCATTGGTGGCCTTTACAGTACACACTTGGAGGAAGAAAAAGAGGATTTTTTTTCCTATAAAAAAAAAATTACTAGCCAATCTGGACCCAGGGTTTTCTGCTAGGGTCAGGGTCTAGGGGCTACTAATAGGGTAGTTCTCTCTGTGCTTTGGTTTTTCTGCTATAAACTGAACCAAACAGGACTGATTACGTGCACCTTAATCCCAAACTGTTTGCTTTAGCACTCACCACTTTATTGGATCATACCCTGCAGTTACTTGCACTTGGTACATTCCAGGGTTTTCTGGACTGTACACCAAGTACTAGTGTGCTCTGTCATGCACATTAGGATTTTAAACTTGGTCCTGGACTAAATTATTGATTCACTGCTGTTGGGATGTTTGGGCTATTTATTTAATGTGTTAACATTGATTCCATGGTGCTGTTATATCTGCTTACGAGAGTATACAGGTCTGAACCCTACCAGAACTGTTGATGAATGTGTTTTATCAATTCTAATTATTTGTAATAATAATAATAGCAAAATTGTTATTAAATTTGGCACACTCTGCTCTTTTTTACAACCATTTATAGCATCTCCTTGGATAAACTCGGGCTCCTCACCATTTTCGCTGAACAAAGTTTATTTTTCTTGTTTAATCAACTTCCTATTTTTCATCGTCTGTGGAATAGGCTCACAAAATAACTACAAAATGATGCAGGATAACATTAATTGGTAAATGTGGAAGTTTTAACTGTTACCTACTAACAAGGTTGCAAGGAAAGGTTTTTAACACCAATTCAAATACAAAAAATTCTAAAATGACAAATCACTATATAAACCAAGATAAGGTTCCTGCTGATCACACTTTTAGAACGTTGCCTAAAATTGCTCTTTATAAATAAATCCCACTGTGTCATTGATGTGGTCTTAAACAACTGCCGTGCTCAGACAGATAGTTATGTTAATCATGCTCTGCTTCCTATAACAAGAAAAAATAGATGTCTGAGACTCTGTTATGTTTGTTAATGAGATGCACAGAAATATCATCTCTTGTGTTTATGCTTGTTGTAGATTACATAATATTTTATGTGAAACTCTAAAATGAAATCTTCAATGCAGTAGTTTTCGCAAGATGGATAACAGTTTCAACGAGGATTGGGATACAGCCTTTTGGTAGTTTAGTTTTAAAATAGATCTGACTGGGAGATACCATTAAAAATAAGGACACTCTTGCCACCTAATTTCCATGCATCAGATAAATCTATAAGGCGAAGCAAGAGAACGTAGCTAATGCACTTTCTATTTTGTCTATGAATTATAAATGATGCTGTAGTATGAAACAGGGGATGGCTTAAACTAAGAAGAAAACAACAAAAAATTCAAGGAGATATTTGTGTGAAATTAAAGCTTTTACGGAAAAAAAAGCTATTGTGTTACATATCAGTGGTAATTAACGAACGAAATCTTCACAATGACAATGGGATCTGTAGCAAAATCAGAAGAGTCAACTGTTACCTTTAATTTTTGAAGTGGCATTGAACCCTGTGATGTGTTTGCTTTGGAACAGAGCCGTTTGAAGCTCTTCATTCACAATTTGTTTGTAAAAATCAGCATATATTTAATGAAGCTTATATCTTATATTTTCTGGTTGTATTGGAATTTCAATACAATTTAAACTTGATCTCTATGAATTTGTCATAAATATTATATCTTTTTGAAATCTAAACAGTGATAGTCCACTTTTTTATTGGACATTTCTGAGTGTATCTGTTAGCTTTCGAATGTTTGACTATGTATTTGCAGATGGTCTATTATGTTCTTTAATTCTTTGTACATTTACTAAAAGGCAAAGCGGACAAATACATCTTCAAATATCTTGTATAAATGAGGATAAATAACCATACCTTGATTTACTATGTCACCTTGGACTTGGCTTTGGGTGGACAGTTTTTATTTAATCAGACATAGGTCATTTTTGCACTTACTTGTCCGTTGTAATAAAAAATACTGTTTATATAGTTGTGTGTTCCTCCTAAAGGTAATTCGAAGCACTTAGTTCGCAGACATAACTGCATAGGCAGCTGATAAAAAGATATCATTGTCAATCTCACTAGTAGGTGCTCATTTTATCTACTGGGAGGATAAAATGTTTAGTTAAACCTCCCAGGAGTCAAACACATGGAGTTTGGGTATCCAGTGAGTTTGTTAACCCACTAAGATACATTACTGGCCATCAAAGTAGTCTTAGTAATGTCCCCTGGTTCAGATCTTCTGCTGATTCTTATGCCAAGTTGGTGTGTGAATGAGTATGGCAAAGGTTATAATAGAGTTTAGTAGGCAATATGAATTAACTGTTTGTTGCCACTAGGAATTCAGAGAGATCAACGTTTGAAGCAGATCGACATATAGGGTCAAAAATACTGCTTCTTACACATATAACTTCAGAACAGATTGCATTATGGTTTCCCATCAGATTACATGGGGATGCATATATAATATAATATACAGCAGGTCTGCCTATATCATTCTGTGTAGGAAATATTTGTCTGCAAAGAGTTTCCTTGGCCCTGGACCACAAAAAGTGTCTGTGCTGAAATCTGTTGGACTGCAGTATCAAGTGTACTAACAGAACCAAACTAATTGTTCTGAGCATGTCTCTTATATATGTGAATAACCAAGACGGAAGCCGTGGATTCATATTTTATGGCTAGAAAAGCACAGTGGGGACTGGCTAGGGTCTCTTAAAGGATTACTCCAACCACAGGACCTGTCTGATTTAAGAAGTGGTTATGGTTGTAGCAGTCAGTATGTGCAGTGTTTCTGCTTGAAACTCTGCACATACTGAGAAATTTGCTCTTTTGTGTTTGTTTCTTGCACCCCCAGCACTCATGACACAGGCAACCTGGAACTTTGTTCCGGACTGCCTAATGTCAATTTTGTGCATAATTTACAACTGTTGTCAGCATGCAATCGGTAATCAGATTTTTCACTTGCAGGCTGAGCTCGAAGTGCGTCTGCAAGTGAAGCCCTCTTCTACACCTCCCTTCATATACATTACATACAGGTTGCTCTGTCTGTGCTGCCTGCCACCTCCTATTCATATGCACGGCAGATCCCGCGGTGCACCAATCAGCATCTTTTCGTACAGATAAATTGACTCAATACATCTCAAAGGGGAGTGTTTGACATCTTCATGCTGAGCGTGAAGACGGCAAACAACAGTCATTACAAGACTGCACTAAGAAGCCCCTCTAATCGCTGTCTGAGTGGCTTTAGGAGGTAATGTTTTGTTGAGTAATGCTGAGATGGCAGGGACACTCTCTTTCCCCAAACCAGTACATTTAGCTAGTGGTTCTAGTACTTAGAGTGCCCCTTTATTGTTTATAAATAGTTACTAGCTGCTGGTCCAAATTGTTCTGTACAAAATAAAATATATAGTAAATAAACCATAACATCCCCAGTATTCAATTAATGGATGAAATCATTAGTCATTATGCAGTAGAAATGTTTGTATCTTTCCATTTTCACTGCCAGGTATTTTAGTCTCAAGTGAAAGCCCTTGTGGTTGTATTATTCATGCACTACTACTTTATTATGATATTTTCCTTGCATGTAGAAACAGTTTTCTGCTGAATGCTGAGGAAACTGTAACCTGCAGCAGAATTTAATAAAACAAACCTATACAACTTTAAATATATATATTAAGCCAGGTACATGTGATCTCCTATTTTGGAAGGATTGTGTCTACCTCAAAACATTAGGATTAGAGAGACAAATAAATTAGAGCAAATGTAATTTTTCAGATGGATGCTCCATTCAGGGTATTCTTTTTTTTTTTTTTTATGGGCATACACGTATACTTTACTGTCAAGTAATTAATTTTCATATCAGACATAATCATTACAATTACATAATCATTGTCTGGATAATACTGGAGAGTAATACAAAACACAAATACACTACATATAAGCTGTTAATTATTAAATGACAATTTTGAGCAAGGTCCCTGCGGGAGCATCTGCGAAGACCATAAATCCTAATGACATATAAATCATAGTCTACCTTTATCTCTATCGTTAGGGGGTAGCCTAGTCCTTTATAACTTGTCCAATAAGCTCAACCATTTTTAAAAATCTAATTTTCAAATAAATTGGAGATTTCTATCTTCATCTTTAATTGGAAAAGAAGCTGTTACTTAATCATAGTCCAACAAGGCACCATAGGTGATTTCCAATATCTTGCCACCAATGTTTTGGCGGCCATCAATATATGAATAACTAAAACAGTGAGGTGCCTAAATATTTTTAATATTTAGATGTAGTAGAAAAGCTCCTGGACTAAAATAAATGTTAGTATTTTTTATTTTTTTTATTTTAGTTGCCAACATTCTCCAAAGTAATTGCATTGGTTGACAGTCCCACCAGAGTGGTAGATGTCTCCAAATAATCCAGATAGATGTTGAAGCCATGGGTTTCACACCTCCAACATCTATCTGGACCATTTGGAGACATCTAAGATAATCTACTTGGCACCATATACCATCTGTTTAGAAGTTTATAGTGTATTTTATTTAAATTAAGACAATGTATGTTTTTATAGATCAGGCATAGGCAACCTTCGGCAATGCAGATGTTTTGGACTACACCTCCCATGATGCTTTGCCAGCATTATGGGTATAACAGCATTATGGGGGATGTAGTCCACAACATCTGGAGTGCCTACCCCTGTTATAGATCATAGTCAGGGAACTTTTCTATTCATCATAACTTATTTTAATATTCAAATCTAATTCCCATTTGTTTATAATGGGACAGATATAACTTTCTGGATATCCTGCAATCAATTCTGCACATCCTGGAACAATTTTTTTTTTATTTCTTGTTTTTATTGAAAATGTCATACTTTACAATTTGATTACAAAGACAAATTTCAAATGAAGAAATTTAAAGGTATACAATATAGTATCAGAAGTTCAATTGTTTATATTATTTATACATTGGGTCTACAAGCATAGAAACATTCATTCTTACATCCCAGTTATACAGAAAGAAATAATAATAAAAAAAATATATAAAGGAAGATAAATGAACACATAAATAAATAATATAAAGCCATTTCTCAATTTAATCTCTCTCAAAATAAAAACTTAGTTCCATTTTATATTGCTATGTGGTTTGATTACATATATTTGCCCAGCTTAAGAAGGATAATTTCTAATTGTGTGCTAACTGTATGTGCATTATTTGATTATCATGGCTTTTTTGACAATTTGGATAATCAATATTCTATAAAAACTTATGTGGAGTAAGTTTTGTATACGAAAAAAGATACAGAAAACATTAATTTATTTGAGATTTAAGCATATCTAAGCTAGCACTTTCCCACCATATATGTAAAAGATTTCCTTTCTCCGCTTGGCATCTCCCACACATGTCAGAGGCATTGTTTACAATTTTTTTTAAGTCTAGTGGGAACTAAATACCATCTATCGATGATTTTGTAATGTAATTCTAAAATAGAGATACAATGAATATTTTGAGAGAAGCTTTTAACCCCAGACAGCCATACTTCCCAGGGAAAGTGGGAGTCTAAGTCGGATTTCCATTTTATTATGGGAGGTGCCTCATCCTTCTCCACTCCGGTATTTCGGATATGCGAATGAAAACATTCAGAATCTTAAATATTAACTTCTTTTTTTTAACAATGGAATTTTTAAAAAGCTTATCAAACCAATGGGTCGGAATAATACTCCTACTCATCAAGTAATTGTTAATTCTTAAAGGGACACCGTAGGCACTGTATCTGCTTCATCTCATTAAACTGGTTATAGTGTCTGGAGTCTTCTGGTCCCATCATTTCTATCAGCATTAAACAGTTTTTAAAGTTTTAATGTTTTAATGCTAAACAAGAGTCCCCGGCAATCCATCCCCTCTGTGCTGCTTTGGCTAATAAGGAAGTATTAGCCTGAGCAGAAATGGGCAGCTGTGATTGGCTGAGAGTGTCAGCTGACTACTTTTAGCCTGTCAGAGTTCCAACTGACGGTATGAGTGGGTATGACAACAAGGAAATGTGTAATCTCTGCCTTTGCTACACAAACTGAAGGGGCCGGATTGTGGGTGGCCAAGGACTCTTATTTTGTGGCATACTGCACGAACATGGTGCAACGCTGAATGGAGGGACAGTGCCAGGGAACTCCAGGCACTATAACCAATTCAAAGAGATGAAATGCTTATAGTGACTACAGTGTCCCTTTAAGTAAGAGAAAACCTCATTATTGGGAAGATCGCACTTTTCTTGTAATTGGGCAAAGGGAATTACAGCCCCGTCAGCTATTAAGTCTGATGTTCTATGGATACCCCTGGATTTCCATTGTATAGTATTTAAATCAACTATATCATTGGAAAGTATCTCAATTGAGGCTCCTAAGGATATACTGTTAATTAAACCAAATCTTTTCTTTAACTTTATCAGTGTACCTGCTATATCTTTCACGATCGGGTTCTGAGAAATATTCAGTTTAATCAAAGGAAAGTTCGTCCAAAATATATGAAATATGTTATATGATCTCATCTCTGTTTTTTCAATAAGATACAAATTGTTATGTAAATGAGCTGATTATCTTAGTACAGTGGGGTTTTTTAAGATATAAAGTCACTAAATGGAGTTTCACCAATCTCATGTTAAGCAAAGGTTGAAAAGCAATGCGTTCATATTGAAAGAATTAACTAACTGGACTATCAATATGCACTGAAATTTTTTTTTCTCAGATGGATGTGCCATTGGAACCCATCCAGGGTATTCTTAACCACGTGATAAAAAGTTAACTACTTCTAAAAAAGTATGTCACTGTATTCAATTAATACAGATTAAGGACCAGCATACACACACGCACAAACAATTTTTTTTTACATTTTTACAAAGCTACTTAAAATGACCTATTTTAGCAACAAATATGGGGATTCAGTTACACCATATGATCATATTATGTTAAGCTCATCACTTTGTCACAGTGCCCCAATATAGGTTGGTCCTTCACTAATTTTAACATGGGAGATTAACATGTTAACTGGAATACGTACTGCTCAAACTGCTTCCAGAGATTCTTCTCAATTTATGCTTTCCTGTGGTCACATCTAAAGGGGCACCTAGAGTGGATGGGTGAGGTGGTCAGCCCAATAAGAAAGAGCACCCTGAAATAGTACAGATCAGGAGACAAACTACTTGTCGAATGACCTTCAGTCATTCAAATGAAGAACCATTTAAATCTTGATGATCCGATGTCCAAATATTTCAAATACCAGGAGCAGGTTGTGAAAGATTCCTCTCGAGAGGAGTAAGCTAATGGACCTATATTCCAAGACAGTGAGGTTGAATCGGAGGGTTGTCTTCCTCAGTCAGAAAGCCATGGTAACTTTTCTATTAAAATGATCGGGAAGAGAATGCCTCACACTTCCACTTTTTCTGGCTGCATCGGTTAGCCTCAAGGTCACTTTAGGTGCAATTATTCTTCACTTAAAGTTTTAAAACATTTGGCTAATTGGCAGGCTCATCACATCTACAGTTCTCAGGGTGTTTTATTTAATTTTTATTGTCCCCGTGAGTGGAGAGAACTGCAATGGTTAGAAAGATAGTCAGGTTCAAATCCTGAAAGAATGGACTTACACCTAGGAAATTAAAACAGAGATTAATAGAGAGTTCGAAGAATCCAGCTCTAGTTGTAGAAAGGGACACTTCAGACCCCTGAAGTGCTATAGCTTGCTGAAAAGTTTTGTTTGTGAAGATTGTGTCTTCTTTATTTAATTTTGCAAAAAGTACATATTTCAATAGATATACAGTGAAACCTCAGAACTTGAACGGTCCCTTACGTGAACAATTTGGTAGTCGAACAAAAATTTTGAGAAAAATGTCTTGGTTCACGAATGACCCTCTGTACCTGAACAAATAATGCCACAAACATGTTCAGTTGTAAAGCTATGTCTCACTTTAGACACATTTTAAATACCAGAAGAACAGTTATATATCCCCATCCAAACAATATCTCTTCTCCTTTCCACTTACGCCATCAACTCTCATCATTACAGGCAAAGTGAAGTTACATTTTCTTTTTTTAATTTACTGTACATTGTGCTTATTATTTTTTTTCTATATGATTTTATGCATGTAAGGTATTATTAAAGTGTAAAATTTGTGTAAATTTTTGGGGTCTGGAATTAATTAATCAAATTTACATTAATTTGCATGGGAAATGTTGATTCCATTCTCGAACAAAGCGGAACTCGAACAGCCTTCTGAAACGGATTAAGTTCGAGTTCCGAGATCCACTGTAGACAATTTTACAAATTAACCTTGTTACACCCACTTGGCTGTCAAACAGACAACAGGTCATGTTACTTCCTGGTTTGGTTAGCTCAGTAGAGCTAAACTTCAGAGGCAGCAATTGCTCAGAGCGCCTGCCTTTGCAAAGACTTCTCTTTGAGCTGCATTGGGAAGTCTGTAATTGGACAGCCACATAAAGTCTGGGTGGCGTTAGATGGGCAGTGATTGCAAAGGTAGAATTGCAGATTTTGCAAGCTGTTTTAGAAACACCTCAATTAAAAATGTATAATGAATGCAAGTTTTCATTTGGGGTATATCTATTCAACAGTGATTTTGTATTTATTTTGTATTTGGGCAATGGAGAGTTACTACATCATTGAAACTTCTTGACACTGTTTTTCACTCTTCCTCTAAAGAAAAAGAAATATGAATTGGAACTGCAGTGTGCTTCTAGTTTTGAATGGGTGTTTTTATTCTGGTGGGCTTTAAGTATATACGTTCCCCAAAACATTTAAATAACCGTGAACTGTTCTTATAAGGTCCTTCCAAAATATTATATGGTAGTGTGTATGTATTATTTCCCCAAGTCCAACATAAACTACATTTCTATTTAACCACTCTTACCTTCCAATTTATTCCAGGCCAGCACACACATTTTCTATGCTCTTAGTGCCTATGTACAGAATGAAGCCCGATCATAATGTCCCCTCTCAGATCTTCACATGTTACAGCTTGTCTACTGATAAAACTTTTTCCATGTTGCTCATTTCTCATGTGGGAATAAGCAGAAACCTTCACGGGAATATATTGTTTACCTTTTGATAAACCTTGTAACAAGATGTCTTTTAAGATTCACATTGTTCTGCACTTTTCTGTGTTTGGGTGTTTTGATTTTCACTCTTTGATAAAATACCCACGCATATTGATATTTCCCCAATCTTAAAGTGCTTCTTACTTTGTATTTGGCTGGCAAAGCCTCCTGAGTGAATCAGCTGTAAGTAAGTATTTGCCTGGACATTAACAGATTGTGGATTCTGATATCATCATATTTCTGATGTCTTGACAACAAATGCCACAACCTCCTTTTACAGGCATTTAGCAATGCGTTCATTATTCTAATTTTCAAGAGCTAGAGATCTGTCGCACTGCTACTGGTCAGCTGTGTGTCTAATGACAAAATATGTCCATTCTAAAAAGTAAAGCTAATAGCTCCTTTTCATGGTTTACTTAATTTAATCTTTTCATATGTTGTTTGGATATGTTAGCCCATTTAGTCTGTATTTTAATATAATTCATCACCTCCACATCAAAGTGCATCATTTCAGCCTTTCTTTTCTCTATTTTTTTTTTCTGTGTGGTATATAGAAAAGGTAACTAAAATGTGTGGGTCATTTGGGAGCTAGGGGTTTACAGCCAGGGTGGGCAATCATGATGGCGGTAACAAAGCAATGTCCACTGTCCATAATATGATTGACAAGCAATTATCCCAGCCTACACCAAAATGTAACTTGGTAATATTTCAGCTGTTTTGTGGATTGTTTGTTAATATTTGACCAAGACTGAAAGTAAAATGTTGCCAGGCTATTTTTTGATGGTGACCTGTTAATTACAGTATATGTTGTGGATAAAATGTCTAATATACAGTATAGACTCTGGAGTGAAGGATTTTCAGCACAATAATTCTTTTTTATTTTGTCAATCAATTTTTTATTGAGATGAAAGTGGAATAAATTTAGCATACAGTAATGTTATTATTAATGTGCTTCTGATGACAGTTTTACTACTAACGTATGCAAATTGCCATGGACAATAAATGTAAAGTAATAAATACAGTTCACACAGATTTTTTCCATTGACTAGCTTACTTTGTTTACTACTTGTATTTCAGAATTACTTTGATGGGAAGCTGTCACCTCAGGGGAAAATGCCCTGGATAGAATATAACCACAAACGAGTGTCTGGCACCGAATTCATTATTGATTTTTTGGAAGAAAAACTTGGGGTTAATTTAAACAAAAATCTCAATCCTCATGAAAGAGCTGTATCCAGGGCTGTCACAAAAATGGTTGAAGAGCACTTTTACTGGTGAGTTTACAATGCAGAGGGATGCAATTTAAACTGACAGGTTGAATTGGCCAACCGTAATGTCCATGGTAGGAATTTAATAATCGCCTTCTCTTGATCTATTCGATGACATAGGTAGAAGTAACAAGTATTTGGTACATAGATAGTTGTTACTAAGTTACGCAACCGAAATGTGGCATATCCATTTTCAGACAGTTATTTGACTCTATCAAATGCATTAATGCAACACGACTTTTTGGCATCCTTAGCCTTTCAAAACTGAGCACTTTTTGAAAAAAAATCCTTGACTTAATTTTCTAATTTTTCTTGTTTTCTGGTTTCCTGTCTCAGCTATTCCTTATCGTTATCCTGAACTTTGGCTATTTCTTTACTATTCTCTCACTAACCACGTTAAACTCGGCCATGCTAAGGTCCGGTAATACCTTCTCTCTATTAAGGGTTGTATTCTACGTGTTGGGGTAACTTTGTCATGACATAGGGCTGCACGGTGTCAAAATTGAAGAGATAGTGTCTGACAGCTGTCCACCAGCTCCTTCTTTTGAATCAATCCCTGCACTTTCTCCCCTGTTGTCTCTAATAAACCTCCCCAAGCTCTATGCTTTGAGTTCCGCCCTCGCTCTCTGTCCTGCCGAAAGCTCTCCACTTTAGTCTTATCCAGGCATGAAATTAAAGCACTGTTCCCCAAAACTTTGTCTGATGCTCTGCACATAGAAATGGAACAAAACTGTTTAGTAGTGACCTCAAATAGTAATGTTTTACCTTTAGCACTACAGATCTTACTGAGTACATTTTCCATGAGACTCAGCTAGCCAATGGCTAAATGTCTTGAGAGATATACTATACATGAACTGCAGTGTTACTGGTAAGTCATAAGAGTCCTTAACCATATAAAGTCATTTTTTATTTTTATAAAATACTAAAGTATATAAACAAAAACAGATTGGGCGCTAGGTGACACTGTAAGTAATAACAACCTTAATATATTGATAGAATATGGTAAACTCGTATATGGTAAACATATTACTCAGTACTCATTACCTTGGTAAACTCATTAGCTCCTTTGGCTTCCAATATCATTTCTATGCAGCTGACACGCATATCTACCTGTCCTCTCCTGATCTTTCCCCGTCCCTCTTAACTAATGTATCTGACTGCCTCTCTGCTATTTCTAACTGGATGGCTGCCCACTTCCTTAAACTAAACTTGACCAAAACGGAAATTCTGGTCTTACCTCCCTCAAGTGTTGTTACTCATGTGTCTGTCTCCCTCCAAGTCAACGGTGCTACCATCAGCTGCCTAGGTGTTCTCTTTGACTCCGACCTCTCCTTCAAGCCTCATGTTCAATCTATCACCAAATCCTGTCATTTCCATCTCAAAAACATTGCGCGCATCCGCCCCTACTTAACGCCAGATGCGACTAAGGTGTTGGTCCATTCCACTGTCCTTTCTTGCCTTGACTACTGTTATCAGCTTCTCAGTGGTCTTACATGCTCCCAACTTGCGCCATTACAGTCCATAATGAATGCGGCGGCAAGGCTCATCTTCCTGTCCACCCGCACCTCCCATGCCTCACCCTTCTGTCAGTCCCTACATTGGCTTCCTATAAAATATAGAGCTCAATTTAAAATTCTGGTTCTTGCTTTCAAATCTTTACATAATGCTGCTCCACCTATCTATCCTCCCTTATACACAAGTATGTCCCGTCTAGGCCCTTACAATCTGCTGAAGACTTACGTCTATCTTCTGTCCATACTCCCACCTCTGATGCTCGCCTTCAAGATTTCTCGAGGGCTGCATAGTTCCTGTGGAACTCACTTCCCTCCTCCATTAGATGCTCACACAGTCTCCACTCCTTCAAAAAATCGTTAAAAACCCACTTCTTCATAAAAACGTATCAATTAAACTGTTAATAGCTCCTGACTGATTCCTCTACTGCAACTGTCACTCGTCTAATACTATCCTTACTTTTTTGTGTAATTTTTCCCCACTCCCTCTAGCATGTAAACTCATTGAGCAGGGCCCTCAACCCCTCTGTTCCTGTGTGTCCAACTTGTCTGGTTACAACTACATGTCTTTTCGTCCACCCATTGTAAAGTGCTGCGGAAATTGACGGCGCTTTATAAATATCATGATAATAATAATAATAATATTATGTGAGCAAAGTCCAACAGGACAAGGGCAAATTTTACGGAGAGAGGGCGGAATCAATTTTCAGGGGTGTAGCCTAGCACTACACCATCCGCCTCTGGTATACAGTGTCCATTATCTTGCAATATTTTGTAGAGGGACTGAAATGTTGGTGTAAAAGCTAAAAATAAAAATTTTCTCACAATCAATAGGTATGACAAAATAAATACAAATGGACATAATGCCCACTTACAGTACTGATAAATAATATATTTCTAAAATAAAGGTATTTAAAAAGTTCTATTGTAATCTTTTTCACTCTTTAGATTGCTAAGGTAATGCTAATGGTGAAATGGTAGAGCCCATTTGCTTTTCCACCCTGTTTGAAGGAATGGTATGGCCCATTGAAACTTCCTTTACTGTTTAGAAGGAAGGGATGAGCTGACATTTTCAGCACACTTGCAGCTATTAAATTAGTGACTAGTGGCTTCTGGCAGATCAGTTTGCTTCTCTACACACTGGTATTCATTCCTTTGACACACAGCAACCACAAAGACAGTGGGGGAAAAAGGTGGATTGGCGCTAATAGAAGTAAATGCTGCTCCCATAGCATCTAAAACCACTCACAAGACACCACACAGTAAAATTTGTAAGAAAATATACATATAAGATTGTTGGGTTTTTGTTTTTTAAAATCCACTTCATTGTACATTTGCTCAATTTACCCCCTACCCCCTCAAATGTTTTTTTAATTAATTGAATACCATGAAATTTCATATTTGTGGGATCCTTTTTATGACAGATTAAAAAAAATGTAAGGATACATTATGATTAGGGTAACCTCTTTTAATATTATATATGTGCTCACGTATTCTAGTCTTTATACATCTCAATGTTTTATCCTCATATTGTAGGCCACAAAGGCACGTGAGCACGTATATAATATTCAGAGAATTACAAGTTATATTTATATATATTGTTACTCATTTATGTACTAAATTGCATTTTGCAAGAAAGTTTATGCTCAGTGAAGGGGTTTATATGTTGTATTTTTTTTTTATTGCACGTTGTTTGCCACAACATAGGCCTCTAGAACAGACATGAGTCTCCAGACTTCCTTATCAGAGTATGTACACAACCTATCCACTGACTGCATTACATTAGCTTATCTGCTATAAAAAAAAGCTGCATGCATTAGAAAAGGACACCCAGGCAGAAGAATAGCAAGGCTGGAGAGTCCAATGTCTACCAGCCAGTGGAAGTTTTGAGCCCTATATATATGTGTATATGTATATATACATATATATATATATATATATATATATATATATATATATGCAAAAAATAAGAGATGCACTCTCAGGACTTGTTTAATCGATAATGAAGTATTTTATTAAAAAGAAGGTTTACATAATATGATCGACGTTTCGACCCCTCAGGGTCTTCCTCAAGATTGAGGAAGACCCTGAGGGGTCGAAACGTCGATCATATTATGTAAACCTTCTTTTTAATAAAATACTTAATTATCGATTATACAAGTCCTGAGAGTGCATCTCTTATTTTTTGCATATATTCCATAACGTGGGATTGCACCAAGGCACTAAGAAAACCATTTTTGAATTGGAGAAAGGGTGAGTGCCAAGCTTTCTGTTTGTTATATATATATATATATATATATATATATATATATATAAAATTTTCCACATTTTTATTTTAATGCAAAAACTATAGAAATCCTCTGAAGAAGAGAGATGTCCCTTAAATTTAATTATAAAAGTAAAACAATCTTAAGAAGAATGGAGCAATCCATTTAATTGTAAGCCAGGTACTTTACCAAGACTTCCACAGGTCGTACCACAGACGTTAGCAAAATCAGGGACCATGTAAATTGAACAGTATTCTTAAGAGAACAGAAGAGGAAAACCACAAAAAAAGTAAAAAAATTAGTTACCAGAAAGCCTTCCTGATTGACGGGTCAGCTAAATACGTTCAATATTTTAAGGTAAGTCAAATGTCACACCAGAGAATCATAGTTAGTGGAGTTGGCATGTAATCTGAAATTGGTTCACACCAGTAATTCAGTCCGAGGTGAGTAGGATTTAGGTTAGGAGGAGGTTTCAAACAAGCCAGTGGGGCTCAATATGTATAAATTAAATTTTTTTTTAAAACTTTAAAATCTCCCGAATGCCCCTACTCGCTATACCGCGAGTAGGGGCATGTCTACTAATAAGTATAAAAAAAAGCACAAAAAACCTAGTACCCTCCTCCCCTGGCCCCCACCCCTGAGCGGCGGATGGGGGCCATAAATGACAATGGGGGGGACCTATTGAGCGGCGGGTGGGGGCCATAAAGGAAAATGAGGGGGGGACCTATTGTCCTCCCCCATGGCCCCCACCCCTGAGCGGTGGGTGGGGGCCATAAAGGAAAATGAGGGGGGACCTATTGTCCTCCACCCCCCCGACCCCTGAGTAGTAGGTGGGGGCCATAAATGACAATGAGGGGGGACCTATTGTCCTCCTCCCCCGGCCCCCACCCCTGAGCGGCGGGTGCGGGCCATAAAGGAAAATGAGGGGGGATCCTATTATCCTCCCCCCTGGCCCCCACCCCTCAGCGGTGGGTGGGGGCCATAAATAACAATAAGGGGGGGACCTATTGTCCTCCTCCCAGCCCCCACCCCTGAGCGGCGGGTGGGGGCCATAAAGGAAAATGAGGGGGGACTTATTGTCCTCCCCCCCGGCCCCCACCCCTGAGTGGCGGGTGGGGGCCCTAGATTAAAATGTCCCCCTCCCCCTTCCAAGGTGACTAGGGGTCCCCAAGGCCCTAGTCACCCCCCACCCCACTAAAAAATAATCCCCTGCTTCCCCCCTCACCCTAAAATAGTGAGGGGGGAATAAAAAAACTAACTACCTGTAAAAAAAAATAAAACTTACCATTTGATGTCTTCATTTTTCAAAAATCTTTTTTCAGCCCCAAAAAAGGCCAAATAAAAACCATAATACCCGTCGAACTTGTAAAAAATAAAATAAAAAACCTGAGCGCAAAAAAAAAAATCAGACGAAAAAGAAAAAACCCGACGCTACAAATTTATCCATCTTCACCCGGCGAGGGCACGGCGCAGACTGAGTCTTTCCCGCCTTGCAATTAGGCTCAGAACACTCTAATTTCCTGTCAGTCTCTTCATTTACCTGTCAGAGCACTCTGATTGGATGGCTCTGAGCCTAATTGCAGGGTGGGGCAATGCTTTATAAGCCTCTCCCCGCCCTGCGGAGCTCAGTCTGCGCCATGCCCTCGCCGGGTGAAGATGGATTAATTTTTTTTAGCGTCAGGTTTTTATCTTTTTTATCTGATTTTTTTTGCGCTCTGGTTTTTTATTTAATTTTTTTCAAGTTCAACGGGTATTAAAGGACCACTCTAGGCACCCAGACCACTTCAGCTTAATGAAGTGGTCTGGGTGCCAGGTCCAGCTAGGGTTAACCCATTTTTTAATAAACATAGCAGTTTCAGAGAAACTGCTATGTTTATTAATGAGTTAAGCCTTCCCCCTAATCCTCTAGTGGCTGTCTCATTGACAGCCACTAGAAGGCTATGCTTTCTCACTGTGATTTTCACGGTGAGAGCCGCCAGCGTCCATAGGAAAGCATTGCTTTCCCATGCGACCCGGCTGAATCTTGGGCGCGCAGCTCGCAGCGCATGCGCATTCAGCCGACGGGGAGGAGAGAAGGAGGATCGGAGGAGGAGAGCTCCCCGCCCAGCGCTGGAAAAAGGTAAGTTTAAACCCCTTTCCCCTTTCCAGAGCCGGGCGGGAGGGGGACCCTGAGGGTGGGGGCACCCTCAGAGCACTATAGTGCCAGGAAAACGAGTATGTTTTCCTGGCACTATATTGGTCCTTTAAGGTTTTTATTTGGCCTTTTTTGGGGCTGAAAAAAAGACATCAAATGGTAAGTTTAATTTTTTTTACAGGTAGTTAGGTCTTTTATTCCCCCCTCACAATCTTTAGGGTGAGGGGGGTAGGTAGGGGATTATTTTTTATTTAGGTACGGGGGTGACTAGGGGCTTGGGGCCCTTTGTCACCTTGGAGGGGGGGGGGGGAATTTTCATTTAGGGCCCCACCCGCCGCTCAGAGGTGGGGGCGGGGGGAGGACAATAGGTGTCCCCCCCCTCATTTTCCTTTATGGCCCCCACCCACCGCTCAGGGGTGGGGGAAGGACTTTAGCCCCCCCCTTATTGTTATTGGCCCCCACCCACCGCTGAGGGGGGCCAGTGGGGAGGACAATAGGTCCCCCCCTATCATTTATGGCCCCCACCGCTCAGGGATGGGGGCCGGGGGAAGGAAAATAGGTGTGTGTCCTTTCATTTTCCTTTATGGCCCCCACCGACCGCTCAGGGGTGGGGGCGAGGAGAGAACAATAGGCCCCAACTTATTGTTATTTATGGCCCCCACCCACCGCTCAGGGGTGGGGGCTGGGTGGGAGGACAATAGGTCCCCCCCTTATTGTTATTTATGGCCCCCACCGACCGCTCAGGGGTGGGAGCCAGGGGGAGGACATTAGGTCCCCCCTCATTATCCTATATGGCTCAGGGGTGGGGGCAGGACAATAGGCCCCCCCTTATTTTTATTTATGGCTCCCACCCACTGCTCAGGGGTGGGGGCCGGGTGGGAGGACAATAGGTTCCCCCCTCATTTTTCTTTATGACCCCCACCCACCGCTGAGGGGGGGCCTGTGGGGAGGACAGTAGGTCCCCCCTATCATTTATGGCCCCCACCCACCGCTCAGGGGTAGGGGCTGGGGGAAGGAAAATAGGTGTGTCCCCACTCATTTTCCTTTATGGCCCCCACCCACCGCTCAGGGGTGGGGGCGAGTGGAGAACAATAGGCCCCCCTTATTGTTATTTATGGCCCCCACCCATCGCTCAGGGGTGAGGGCCGGGTAGGAGGACAATAGGTCCACCCCCTTATTGTTATTTATGGCCCCCACCCACCGCTCAGGGGTGGGTGCCGGGGGCCGGGTATTAGGATTTTTTCTGGATTTTTATTTGGCCTTTTTTTGTGGCTGAAAAAAGATTTTAGAAGAAAGAAAACATCAAATGGCAATTTTTTTTTTTTTACACCTACTTCAGTAATGCTCCCCCTCATTATTTTTAGGGTGAGGGGGTTAGGTATATATTAGGTTTATCCTATATGGCTCAGAGGTGGGGGCAGGACAATAGGCCCCCCTTATTGTTTTTTATGGCTCCCACCCACTGCTCAGGGGTGGGGGCCGGGTGGGAGGACAATAGGTTCTCCCCTCTTTTTCCTTTATGGCCCCCACCCACCGCTCAGGTGTGGGGGCCGGGGGAGAGGAGAATAGGTCCCTCCCCTCATTATCCTTTAGGGCACCCACCGCCGTTCAGGTGTGGGGGCCGGGGGAGAGGACAATAGGTCCCCCCTATTGTTACTTAGGGCCCCCACCCGTTGCTCAGGCTTGGGGGCCGGGGGGTTCTAGGTTTTTTTTGTGGGTTTTTTAACAGTGAGCAGGCTGCTCACTGTTTAGTAGACATGCCCTTACTCATGGTATAGCGAGTAGGGGCAGCATTTACTAATACTAAGTAATCTTTACTTAGTATTAGTAATTGTGGCTGAAATACCAATTTAGGTTTTTCAGCCTTTTGGTAGATAGCTCCCTAATACCGTGGGAATTAGGGAGTTATCTACAAAGCGGTTGCAAGATGCAGCTGCGGCACAAATAGGATCGGAGTTTCATTCATTAGAATGAAATTCTGATATGAACAAAGTCCCGAATTGTGTCCTAACTCGAATGAACAAACTGTTCTCATTCTGTTAAGACGCAATTTGGCAGTTTCGCCGGCACCCTGTCTAAATGACAGGACGTTCGGGAATACTGACAGGAAGCATCATGGGAACAGGGAGGAAAGCTTAGAATTGTGGGAAAATTTCTCTGACCACCGGAAATGAAGCACACTTTGCTCCTCCGCTGGTCAGAGATGGTCAGGCGTAGGAAACCTCCATAAGACAAATAGTTCCTGTGACGGAACGCTGGCACTCCGACTGAGTACCTCCGCCAATCGATGCTCCTAGCGCTTGCCGAGGACTCCAAGCACTCCAACTGACACCATCAGCACTGCAGATCCCACTTCCAGCGATACAGCTGCACCGGGGTCTCACCGTCTCCACCCACCCTGGATCCACGACCAGGATCCAGCTCCCAGTGGGTGAGCCTCTCTAAATCCAGAGAGCGTAGCAGGAACAAATCAAGCTATTGCAAGAGCTTACTCAGGGGAGTAAGTGATTCTAGCAATCCCCAGAGTGTAGGTATCCCTTCCCCCAAACATGAGCCAAGGCTTCAAGAAAGGTACAAGATGATCTGGTTTTAATGACCACACACTGGCTTTTATGCAAGTCCCCATGCAAGGGGACATCCCACAGGGTGGGACCCAGTATAACCAATCACAGACAATACAAACAAAACACTCCCACAGTGACATCACAATCCCTCCTCTCTATCCTGGAGATAATTGGGAAGTAATCAAATTATCTCCCAGGACAGAGGCAAGACTCCATTAACCACATGGTTACAAAAAGACATGAAATTACACAATGTTACAATTACTACATAAAACATATACATGCAACATATCCCCAGATAGCTTAGATCTGAGTGCACATTATTACTGAATGGCGCTCAGATCACATACATACAATTCAATCGCCATGGAGCCAAAGTCTTTTCCATAGTCTTTTGTTACACAAATAGGCTCCATGGCATAGCTATCTGGGATAGCACTACTACCATACTGAAAGTCCAGAACGCCCCAACAGAAATGCACAAATAAACCTTTCTGCAGGGGAAAATACCGCTATCAGCACATGGGCCATAGTCGGAAGGCAGGAGGCTAGCCAGTAGTCCCCTCCAGGCACAAGTGGCGAAGGGCACTTCGTCACAGTTCCTACTTTGTCTTATGTTTTAAAGAAAACTAGAGCAGACAGGTAGAAATGAAGAACATATCCTGAGAGAGGGAGAGAAGAGGAATCGATTAAAGAAAGGTAAGTTCAGCATGACAGTGCCGCTTTAAACATCAATGTGCTAAAGGCACTCTCAGGACTCCATAACATCTTCAATACAAAGAAGTTGCTATGGTGCCTGGAGTTTTTTTTAATCATGAGAGAAGTTTTCAAACTTATGTACCATATTATATGTCTGGGAAAACCTGAAAACATGAGCTTTTCAATTGTCTAGACTAAAATTAATATGCCGTCTTTTAATAGCTTCACATTATGAACTATTTCAAGCATAATATATCTCATTGTATTATTTGTATCTTTGCAGGACTTTGGCATATTGCCAGTGGGTTGACAATCTCCATGAGACTCAGAAAATGCTTTCTGTTACTGGACCCCTTAGTGACTTACTAAAGTGGATTCTGTGCCACCTTACTAAAGGTATTGTGAAACGGGAGATGTATGGACAAGGCATTGGTCGTTTCTCTGAAGAGGAGATTTACATGCTGATGGAGAAAGACATGCGATCACTAGCCGGACTTTTGGGTAACACTAAAAGTGCTATCTCTGTTCCTTGGGCATTAGTAGAAATTGGAGATATTTTTGAGTCAATTCATAGTTCCATCTGTATATATTTATTTATTTTTCAGTTTACATAAATGTTAAAGGAGATGGCTTCTATAACTTATAAGGATAATTGTATTATCATTCATTACTGTCAATACAATCCTCATGTTCTGCACACAAAAAACAAACTTAATGAAACGTAAGGGCACACTCTAGTTAACAAACCAGTGGCTTTGGTGCATAGATACTGTTCTTTCCTTGGTCATATAAAAAAGTTCTTTCTCACAAATAGCAATGCTGCATTTGACTGGAATAATGCCTCAAGTGGCTGTCTGATGGACAGCCTTTAGAGGCTCTTCTTCCTCGCACCCTTTGCTTTTTCGAATGATGATGTTGAATGTGGTAAATGCTTCTCATACTAAACAATGGATTCAATGCAGGGCCGGCGAGTCCATAAGGCGGCACAAGTGGCCGCCTTAGGGCACCAGAGCAGGGGGACGCAAAAATCCGAATCCCCTGCCTCTGGCTCTGGCCATGCCTCTGGCTTGGACTCGGATTTTCTAATTAACTGTCTCCCTGCAGCCATCACACAGCAGCAATTCCACCGCTGTTCTCCCAGACTCCCCAGTGGATGGGAGAAGAGCAGTGGAAGACACGCCCCCTCCTGCTGGCATCATCAGGAGAGGCCGGCCGACTTCAATTGCTGCTGTATGATGGCTGCAGTCTCCTGCTCCTGTCTCACCCCTCCCTGGGCCAAGGTAAGCCTCAGAGATGGGGGATACTTTTTTTGTTTTTTTAATCCAATTTTTCTAATTTTTTGGCAGCCCCTGTCCATCCCCCCTGCATCCCCCTCTAGAGCTACTGTGCCTCCCCACCACTGCCCCTGTGCCCTCTCTGTAGACCATGCCCCCTCCACAGCTCCTATCACCCTCTAGAGCTCATGTGCCCCCTCTCTCAATCCCTGTGCCCCTCCTTACCACAGCAACTCTATCCAGCTTCTGTCCCTCCCTCTCCAGCTTCTGTCCCCCTCCCTCTCCAGCTCCTGTCCCCCCTCTCCCTCCAGCTCCTGTCCCCCTTAGCTCCTGCCCCCTCTCAGCTCTTGCCTCTCCCTTTACAGCTTCTGTCTACCCCCTCTCCAGCTCCTGCCCCCCTACAGCTCCTGTGTCCACTTCTACAGATCCTGTCCCCCTTTCCAGCTCCTGCCCCCTTTCCAGCTCCTGCCCCCCTCCAGCTCCTGTGTCCACTTTTACAGATCCTGTTCCACCCCCCCTCCTGCTTCTGCTCCCCTCTCTCTAGCTTCTGTCCCCTCTCTCCAGCTCCTGCCTGCCCCACCCTCTACAGCCCCTGTGTCCCCCTTTCAGCCCTTGTGTCACCCACTTCTCAGGGCCTGCGTCCCTCACCACAGCCCCTGTCCCCTCTCTCAGCCCATGTAACCTGATTTGCCCCCCCACCACAACCCCTCCCAACCCCTCTCAGCCCTTGGAGGGAAGAAAGAGACACATAAAGGGGCTGAGATACACAAGTGAGGTGTAAAAGACACACAAGAGGGTGTAATACATAGTAAAGGGGGGATAAAATACAATAAAGAGGGTAACAATTCAAAAGCGGGGTTATGAGAGACACAGGTGAAGATGCAATTTTTTAAAGGGGGGGGGGGTGCCTGTGTAGCCAAAAATCATACATCATTGGAGCACTGGATTTACGGATCCTGACAATTTCTGCTCATATATCATGTGTCCTCAATGCTTCTCTGTATCACAAGCATCTGATTGGAAAAAAGTCATAAGAATTGAGGACGCAGATCAGGCGCTGCAAGGACAATATCCCAGAACTGGAATGAATGTAAGTTTTATTGCATTTCAATTCATTTAGAAAAAACAAAAACAAAAAGTAAAGAGGGAGCAGTAAACCAAGCAAACAAGGAACACATTTAGTAAAGTTATTTTTATTTGTTTAACCCCTTTAGGACGGCAGGCATTCTATGCCATCCTTTTTTAGGCGGTCCTAAACGCTGGAGGGTAGCATAGAATGTCCTCGCCGTCTTTACTACTTACCGGGTCCCAGCCAATCCCCTGCCGGCGGTCGCGATCCTGGAGACTGCCTGGGAGCCCAGGCAGTCCCCCTCAGTGTGAACCGGCCATCCTAGGCCATGTGATCACATAGCCAGAATGGCTGTCTGTCTGCAGGGGTACTGCCTGAGCTCTCAGGTAGTTCCCCTACTGACTGTTAAAAAGTTTTTTAAAGTTAATAAAAGTTTTGTAAGTCAATAAAAAAGTACTTTGATCATATATATATATATATATATATATATATATACACAGTATATACAGTATTTGATCTAAGTACTTTTATATACACATACATACATACACTATCATACTAAGTGTATTTTAATATTAATATATATATATATATATATATATATATATAATTATGTATTCTTATATATATTAATATTAAAATACACTTAGAATAACGTTAATTATATATATATATATATATATATAAAATAAAAATAATTCAATTTAAATGATTTTTTTTAATTAAAACAATTATAAAAAATAAAATTTAAAAAAATTATATACCTGTGTAATTTTATTCTAACTGTATTTTGATATTAAAACACATATATATTTATATCAAAATACATTAGGATGACGTTATAAATATATATGTATATCTATATATATTTATTTATCTACCTACCTGTCTATCTATCTATCTATCTATCTATCTATCTATCTATATATATAGTTTATAATTTATATACATATATGTTTAAATTCTACATATAAATGTATGTAATATTTTTACATAATTATGTAATTTTATTCATTACAATTTGAAGGACCTGTTTGACAACCCAGGCAGAAAATCTATAGAATTTGTTTTGCAATCCCTATATTTATCCCTGTAACTTTCCAAGACACCTTAAAACCTGTACATGGGGGGGCGGGGTACTGTTTTACTTGGGAGACTTTGCTGAACACAAATATTAGTGTTTCAAAACAGTAAAACATATCACGATGTTAGTGTTGATTTCGGCAGTGAAATAGCAATTTTTCACACATAAACAGCACTTTCACTGACGATATAATTGCTGTGATATATTTTACTGTTTTGAAACCCTAATATTTGTGTTAAGTGAAGTCTCCTGAGTATAACAGTACCCCACATGTACATGTTTTATGATGTTTTTGAAATTTACCGAGTCAAAAATAAGGCTTGCATTTCAGTTTTTTCACATTGAAATTTGCCATATTGGTTATGTTGCCTTTGAGATGGTATGGTAGCCCAGGAATGAGAATTACCCCCATAATAGCATACCATTTGCAAAAGTAGACAATCCAATGTATTACAAATGGGGTATCTCCAGTGTTTTTTAGTAGCCACTTAGTCACAAACACTGGACAAAGTTAGCATTCAAGTTAGTTTTTTGCATTTTTCAAAAACAAACAAATATGAACGCTAACTTTGTCCACTGTTTGTGACTAAGTGGCTACTAAAAAAGCCTGGACATACCCCGTTTGTAATATCTTGGGTTGTCTACTTTTGCAAATGGTATGCTAACATGGGGGTAATTCTCATTCCTGGGCTACCATAAGGTCTCAAAGGCAACATAACCTGTCTGTAATGAAATTTCAATGTGTATAAACTGAAAAATGTGACATGCTATATTTGACCCTGTAACTTTCCAAAACACCATAAACCCGTGAGACATTGCTGAATCCAAATATGTGTACTTTATTGCAGTAACCACTAACATTATTATTACATTCAAAGTTAAAATTCCATGCAGAACTAAAAAAATAAAAAAAATCTTAATTTCTAAAAAAAAATTATATTTTATTAAAGGACCACTATAGTGCCAGGAAAACATACTCGTTTTCCTGGCACTATAGTGCCCTGAGGGTGCCCCCACCCTCAGGGACCCCCTCCCGCCCGGCTCTGGAAAGGGGAAAAGGGTTAAAACTTACCTTTTTCCAGCGCTGGGCGGGGAGCTCTCTGCCTCCTCTCCTCCTCCGTTCCTCCTCCTGGGCTGAATGCGCACGCGCGGCAAGAGCTGCGCGCGCATTCAGCCCGTCGCATAGGAAAGCATTTACAATGCTTTCCTATGGACGCTTGCGTGCTCTCACTGTGAAAATCACAGTGAGAAGCACGCAAGCGCCTCTAGTGGCTGTCAATGAGACAGCCACTAGAGGATTAGGGGGAAGGCTTAACCCATTCATAAACATAGCAGTTTCTCTGAAACTGCTATGTTTATAAAAAAATGGGTTAACCCTAGAAGGACCTGTCACCCCGACCACTTCATTAAGCTGAAGTGGTCTGGGTGCCTAGAGTTGTCCTTTAATATTAAATTATGTTTTATATTTAAGTATTTGATTTTAAATAAAGGTCCTGTTTTTCATGAATAAAATGGTATATAATAAGTGTAGGTGTACTTGATATAAAAAAGGGGAATTACGGTTAAACAGACATATAGCGCAAATTCCAGGTTTTGTTTACATTTTGTTTTGATCACAACTTGTACAATTGTCACAGTCCTTAAGGGGTTAGTTAGAGTTCCTTTACATGTTGATTTTACTAGTTGGCTTCAGCTAACAATGTTTCCAGGATCTCATTGGCTGCACCGTGTTTGAGATATGAGACTAATAAAATATTCATACACAAGGGCAGTATAACCTTTCTTTACATTAGATTAATATGTACGTCCATTTAAATTACATCGACATCTGTCTTTAGACATGAACAGGCTTGTAAATATCAATATGTTACTTAAATGAAATCACATTTCACATATAAATTATGCATTTACCAAATGCATTTGTTTCACATTGATCGTGCTTGTGTAGTGTGCACTTAAAATCTTAGGAGCTTATTTTACACCAGTTTACACTATATATTTAGTAATAATTATAGCATTTCTTTGAGGGTATTTAGACTTCTGTGTACATGTGTCAGTCTTGAAAATGTATGGGTAATCTGGGTATGAGAGTATCTCACTATTGGCTAGGATAATATTAGCAACACACTGAATATATTGTTTTTATTTTAGGTTTTTTACTAGTAATTAAATATTTAAACATCTTTTTTTGTTTGTTTTTTTACATTGTACTATACAAAATATTTTCAATTAAAAAAGTTTAAGTATAAATATGCAAACATCAACCACATGATAATTCTCTGCCATCAACACTTATATTCAATCACGTTTGAGCTGGTGAGATTGTATGAAATTTTGTAACATCCCATCCTGGTGCATATTTGTCATGTATGGGAGGTTAAAGTGGCTCTGTCATGGTCCATTCCTATTTTCTTTCACTGTTACCTTCCAACTCTCTCAGTTCTAAATGTCACTCCCCATCTCCCACCACCACCCCTTTATTATGACTGATTACACCTATTTTTTTATAATTTGATTCCAACTGTGTAAAAACGTCCTGGCAGTGATGCATACTTTCTGCCTTTATTTGAGCTTACTCTAGTGCTATGGAACAACACTTAACACAACAGAGACAAAAGGAACTGCTCTGGGCATGTGCTGCACTCAGGTAAAAACAGAGGATTGTGATTATGGACTAGGGACGTGACAGAAAGATGTGTATTCTGGGATAATGGGACATGACAAATCTTGACAAAGGAAGAGGAACTTGCCTTAAAGGAACACTATAGAGTCAGGAACACAAACATGTATTCCTGACCCTATATTTTAAAAACACCATCTTAACCCTCTGCACCCCCTCGCCCCACTTGTCCCCCTAAATATAGTAGAATATTACGTTTACTCCAGTCTGCTGCGGCTGGTTTTGCCCCTGTTCTGCCTGCTTTGCTGACATCATCAGAAGTGGGGTTCTGAGCCAATCACAATGCTTTCACATTGGAAAGCATTGGATTGGCTGAGACTGTCAATGAGTCAGCACAAGAAAACTATTTAGAGAAAGGTAAGTTGGGGGTGACAGAGCCACTTTAAACCAGACTTGCATCACTATGTAAAAGAACAGCACATATAGATGCATCTCACTTAATTTTAGTGATCTATGGCTTTCAATTAACTTTTCAAACATCACTATGGCTCATTGTTACATAGTTACATAGTTACATAGCTGAAAAGAGACTTGCGTCCATCAAGTTCAGCCTTCCTCGCAAATGTTGTTGCTGGTGAAGATGGTAAAGTTATTAAGGTCATCAAGGTTCCTCAGTCATTTATTCAATTTGGAAGACATTGTGGGCTATTCATTACAGTGTGAATTGTTGAAAATTTTAAATCAATTCAAAGTGGATTTAAAATTTGAGACCAAAATAGCTGAACCGAAATCATAGTTGATTTGGAGAATATTTCTCGTTTAGCTAATTTGGCCTAATACTGTTTTATCAAAATACATTAGGTGATGTTCCAGGAGGGATAAGCCAAATGACAAATGATTTAGGTAAACTAGAAAAATGGTCAGAATTGTGGCAACTGACATTTAATGTGGATAAGTGCAAAATAATGCATCTTGGACGTAAAAACCCAATGGCAGAATATTTGATAGAGTCCTAACCTCAACATATGAGGAAAGGGATTTAGGGGTGATTATTTCTGATGACTTAAAGGTAGGCAGACAATGTAATAGAGCAGCAGGAAATGCTAGCAGAATGCTTGGTTGTATAGGGAGAGGTATTAGCAGTAGAAAGAGGGAAGTGCTCATGCCATTGTACAGAACACTGGTGAGACCTCACTTGGAGTATTGTACACAGTACTGGAGACCGTATCTTCAGAAGGATATTGATACCTTAGAGAGGGTTCAGAGAAGGGCTACTAAACTGGTTCATGGATTGCGGGATAAAACTTACCAGGAAAGGTTAAAGGATCTTAACATGTATAGCTTGGAGGAAAGACGAGACAGGGGGGATATGATAGAAACATTTAAATATATAAAGGGAATCAACACAGTAAAGGAGGAGACTATATTTAAAAGAAGAAAAACTACCACAACAAGAGGACATAGTCTTAAATTAGAGGGACAAAGGTTTAAAAATAATATCAGGAAGTATTACTTTACTGAGAGTGTAGTGGATGCATGGAATAGCCTTCCAGCTGAAGTGGTAGAGGTTAACACAGTAAAGGAGTTTAAGCATGCGTGGGATAGGCATAAGGCTATCCTAACTATAAAATAAGACTAGGGACTAATGAAAGTATTTAGAAAATTGGGCAGACTAGATGGGCCGAATGGTTATCTGCCGTCACATTCTATGTTTCTATGTTTCTAATATTAGATACTCTGAATTTGCTTTGAATTTCCAATGATTCACTCTTTTGTAAATAACCCTGTAAGGATATTTAGGATATGCCATATTTGTCTGGTGGTGAATGGACTTTATTACTTCCTCTAGATTAGGATGCAGCAACCTAATTATGTAATTTCTGTTCTTGTGATTTGTTGTGTATTAGGCAGTGGAGGAATTCATCTGCAGATCCAATATGCATCCTTTTATTAAGTATTAAGTCTGTTTCCACTGACCAGCTAATAAACAATTGTATTAGTTACCAAAGCCTGCTGAGCCCTACACACACCCATACCTCTACATTTGAAATGGACAAAGAGGGATGCTTTAATTTCAAGGGTGTGGGTGGGGCTGTGGCACATAACAGATATATGTCTACTATGTGCTTATTGATTCACTGTCTATTTCATTGTTTTAATACATTTTGTTCATGACTGTTTTAGGTGATAAAAAATACTTCATGGGACCAAAGTTTTCAACTTTAGATGCAACGGTGTTTGGCCATCTGGCTCAGGCAATGTGGACCTTACCAGGAACAAGGCCAGAGAGGCTAATCAAGGGTAAATCCATTTCATTGCTTTGTTCTACTGCTTTGTTCTAAATACACAAGAGAAGACAAAATGTACAGTCTAATTTACAATTATTATCTTCATTTATAGAATGTAAGTGTTTCAATGCTGTTCAGAGTTGCCTCCCAGGTGGACCTACAGATGTTCTTAAACCACAACCTACATGTTCATTAGTCAGATTCTGACTGGATTGCCAATGATCATATGTACTATAGAAAAATCTGGTAGAAATGTGGTCATTCTTACCAAATCGCACCACCAGATGCATTCAGTGTCAGCTTTAAAATCTGTGTTTTTTGCATCTGAATAATATACAGTGGAACCTCGGAACTCGAACTTAATCCGTTCCAGAAGGCTGTTCAAGTTCTGATTTGTTAGAGAACCGAATTAATTTCCCATAGGAATTAATGTAAATTTGTTTAATCCGTTCCAGACCCCCAAAATTACATGGATGGGATATGCAACTGTTCTTCTGGCATTACATACAAAAGCATATAAAATGGCTGTATCAGGTTCAAAATATCTAATACCCCTTTTTCATCTGCTTGTATCCTTATGTCCATAGTGCCTCTTACACTAATCGTGTCCCTTTGTCCACTGGTATCCTTCTCCTCATATTTTCCTCTTTCTCCTTGCATAATAATTCTGTCCATATTCATTCACATTTACTTGTGTCCCTCTGCCCTCTGGGTTTCCTCCCCCTATATTCCCCTCTATCCCTTTACATAGTCCATCTGCCCATATTTCCTCATCTCACACTTGTATCCCATGCTTCCCCACACTTGTGTCCCTCTGTGAATGCTGCATGATGTGTTCGGGTACCGAGAATCATTCACATACCGAGACATTTCTTACGCAAAATTTTAGTTCAACTTTTGAATTGCTCGAGTTCCGAGGTTCCACTGTATAAAGTATACAAAAATAATAACAAACTGCAGAGCATAAATAATACATAATGAAATTCTGAATAAAAAGAAGTAAAAGATAACAGGCCACCACCTCTTTAGCATTATACAAATAAGTACTGCAAGGCCAATACAAACAATTGTCTGGAAATCTATTAATAAACAGGACTATACATTTGACACGAGGTCATGCATTTAGACTGGAAGACAAGAGATTTAGTCTAAGGAAAATGAAAGAGTTTTTTACAGTAAGAACAATAAGGAAGTGGAATTCTGAGCTGGAAGAGGTGGTTTTATCAGAGTCTATACAGATGTTTAAACATCTATTGGAAAAATACTTACACAAACATAATATTCAGGGACACAATTTTTAATTAGTGGGGTAATAGTTTCTTGATCCAAGGAGATATCCGACTGCCATTTGTTTTTCCTAGTTTGTTGGAAAATTGGAAGTCCTTCAAACTGGGTATTTTGCCTTCTTTTGGATCAACAGCAAAAACAGATATAAGAAAGGCTGAACTTGATGGACGCATGTCTCTTTTCAGCTATGCAACTATGTAACCTGATTTAAAATATCTGCTCACCGGATGATTTAAAAACAGTCTAAGTAAAGGCATGTCATGGTCAATGACTTAATATTTCTGACACCATAACTGTAAATACATAGTCTAGGTGCCTGCCACCCCTGTTAGAGGAATAAAAGGTGTTAAACTTACCTTATTACCAGCACTGCACCAGTCTCAATGGAATAAAAATAAACAGCACTATAAATCATATAAATAGAAAACACTCGCCGAGCTACGTACACAAAACCAGCAGAACTAAAAGTAAATCGTTGGTTAGTACTCCAGGTGTACACAGCAAACACAACATCAATTTAGACTGGTAAGAGAGTACACACTCTTGGCCTGTGACAGTTGCAATTGATTATGTAAATAATTTCACATGACAAATTTAATTTGCTGCAGAGACTGCTCAAAAGCACATCTTGTGTTACAATTACTAGTCCTAGTGTAAAATAAAATATACATATATATATAACCATTAATACCTCTGTCATCCTTGTGATTAAAAGATCATTTAAAAATAAATTAGGATAATGGTTTTGAAATGGTTAAATGTGGTAGTAAAACCCAATAATAAATGTACACTTTGAGGCATACGAGTGGCATTGACAAGGTCTTCAACTCTGTTTAGAAACAAATTGCATGCACATTGACCACAAGTAAAAATTTAAATGGAGTAAAATAATGAGACTAATTATTGGCGGGGTTAATTTGTTTTGCTGAAATGAAATAGAGAGCACATACAAAAAAATATAAAGAAATTGCAAATTTACTTAAAATGAAAGTGCAAAAATAGTACATGCCTCTCTTTCTCTCTGATGTTGTGAGGTCTGAGACATGCCATAGTAACAATGAGTACTGCGTGCCGAGTGATAACATCTTGTCTTATTTCTGTGCCCAGTGTCATTCACAAGATCATAAAGGGAACAAAGCACATCGCCTCATGACTTTAGTGCTCTTTGATTAGGGAGATATATAACTATGCTCTGCGAGAGCTTAGCAACCTAAACCTTTTAGTACCCAGATAATAATGAATGTAGGGATGGATAGGTTGATGGCTGGGTGGTTGGAGGGAAGTAAAGATAGATGAATATATGAATTATCTTGTCTTAATGTTTGGAGAAAAAAATCTGAAAGAAAAAAAAGGAACATTTTAATTTATCATTTCAGGTGAGCTAATTAACCTCGCCATGTATTGCGAACGAATCAGGAGGAAATTCTGGCCAGAGTGGCATGATGACAACGATAACACATTTTATGAAACGGACGATAGTGGCGAGGACAGCAAAACACAAACCCCGCTGCCCGATTTTAGCTTTTATTCAAGGACAGGGACCTTTGATGATGATGGGAACAGCATATCTCATACTCCGGACACGGATTTCACAGGACATTCACTTTTTGACTCAGATGTGGACATGGATGAGTTGATAGATCATGAACATTTAAAGTGAAGCACATCGCCTCTTATTTCACTGATCTTTTATGATTGAGGCCTGGCTGGATAGCCATGAGACAGGCTTCATAGGCTAGATAGGATATATTAATAATCCAAGTTTTGCACACTCCATCGGTTGAAACAAGCCTTATGTGAGCAAAACTGGACAGGTGCATTTATTAGGTTTTGTTAAACACCTTGAATTAATATTTTATCATTACCTGAATTTTGTGTGTTGTGTACTATGTAGTAATGCTTGAATTATATTAGCAATGAGATACAATGCCTAGAACACCATATTATATAGCCTTTTACAATGTCCTGGAACCAGCCTGACAAGGTGTATGAGTGCAAATATAATGTATCAGAGCAGTAGAAGATACTATATGTGAAAGCATAAATCTTTAGAAATTAAATGTAAAGATTAGTAATTGTATTGCTTGCACTTTTGTATGAATTGATTGAGTGGGAGGAAGAAAAATTTGCAGATTTTGAAAATGAATATGGTGTGTGTAAGCTAGTTACAAAGTAAGTACACATATCACATTAGTTTTTTAATTTAATTGTTCGTGTGCGCACATGAAAGTTCGATGTTTTAACATTATTGAAATACTCTGCTGTTTAGGCAGTTTGTAATAGCTTACAGAATTCATATAATATCACATTTTATTGATATTTGTGAAAATATAGAGGGAGCTAGTGAGGTTCATGTGGCAATCTTTAAAATAGGGTTACAGAAGCTGCCATTTTCGGGGACATATTTAAACACTGGATTTGATATGAAATCTGTCAAGGGTTATTCATTAAAGTGCAAAAGATCGTGAATTCAAAGAGCATTTAAAGGGCTTTATTTACTAAATTCCTAAATTCCTTAGGATATTTTTTTCATCTTAACTGTAGACACATATTGACTATTTTAGCCTGAGTTTTACAATTTGGAATTTAATTCACAAAAATTTTGAGTTTAGTGCAGGGTTCAGCAACCTATGGCACGTGTGCCATGCATGGCACTTGAGGTGACTTTGCACGGCACTCGAGCCTGCCAGAGACAAACAGGATCTGGCCTAGCAGGAGTCCCAGTGGGACTTCAGATATTTGCTAGTGCAAACTGAGCAGTGATTGAAGATGGTGAGGGACAATCCTCCATTTACGTATTACAGCACTTATTATCTCAGATCACTTCCTCCCAGCACTTGTGAACGGCAAATCGGCACTGGAGTAAAGCATCCCACAGCAGCTATCGTAGCTCCTGCACTTGACCAGTAGCTGGCCAGCTCGGTCCCCACTGGATAGTCACCCACACGGCTAGATATTCACAGAGCTGCAGAATAAGCCTCCCCTCATACAAATAATAAAAATAGCCCACACAAAAACACACATACAGTCCCCACAAACACAACATCACTGACAATCAGCATACACGCACACAACCCCACAAGCAGCTTCTCACATGCAATTCCACAAACAGCCCTACAAATTTACAAACCACCAAACACACAATGTGACATATTATCCACACGCACACACAACTCAACAAGCCGCCTCCATAGACAGCCCACATTCATAGGTATCATCCGCAATCAATACCACAAATTACTCATGAACACATACATTATAACAGCCCACATACACATAAATACAATGTTACAAAGTAACTGCAACACCCGTAAATAACAAAAGTACAATAAGACACCATACACCCCTCAATTTAAAAATAAAAAATAGTTCAAGGTACTTCAAGATCTTGTTTTGACATTGTACTACTAAAAGGTTGCCTATCCCTGGTCTGGTGAATAAAGTGAAATTTAGAAATTTCAAGACAATTCTCCAATTCAGTTATGTTTTCAGTTTGGCTATTTTGGTTTGGAATTTGAAAGTGAAAGTCCTGGCAATTCACACTTCAGTGAATAACCGTGCGATATGTTCTTTTCTACAGATGGTTACTCAGTGTTCTTATTTAGAATACTGGCATACTGGTAAAGACTTTTTTTTTATATATAGGTATACTAAACTGTATACAGGTATACTAAACCGTTATTAAACATATAGCAGGTGATGGCTAATGTGGACTCTGTTCCTCCTGACACCCAGGTAATCAGTGAGATCATAGGAACTGTAATTTACATTCACAGGAGTCACACATACTGAAATTATGTACCATCAAGGTGTATCACTAAACACCAAGATATGCTGAGTTGAGAGATGACTTTAAAATTTAAAGGACCACTCTAGGCACCCAGACCACTTCAGCTCAATGAAGTGGTCTGGGTACCAGGTCCAGCTAGGGTTAACCCTTTTTTCTATCTCTTGCCGCGCATGCGCATTCAGCCGAGGAGGAGGAGAGGAGGCGGAGAGGAGGAGGAGAGCTCCTCGCCCGGCGCTGGAGAAAGAGGTAAGTTTAATCCCTTCCACCCCCTAGAGCCTGGCGGGAGGGGGACCCTGAGGGTGGGGGCACCCTCAGGGCACTATAGTGCCAGGAAAACGAGTATGTTTTCCTGGCACTATAGTGGTCATTTAAGATTAAATCTATTCCAATAGAGGATTTTTTTTTAATTTTAATTCAACAAGCTTAATCTTCATTTTGTTATTTACTTTTCAGTGCATCACGATACACTCAGAGGTGTTTACTAAAGTAAGAATTGTTGTGAATTTTAAGTGAATTAAAAGTGAATTTCAAATTTAGGTAAAATCACCTGAAGTGGGAAAATCTTCATGGTAGCTGTTTTAGTTTTGTTCTTTTGGTCTTAAATCTGAGTCCACTTTGACTTCTTGACTTGCTTGATTTAGTGAGTAACACTGACTGCTTAATGAATAGACCTCATCAACGTTTCCAGCCCTCAAAGGCTGCCCATGAAAAAGAATTCATGTAAAACATGCCACCCACAATGATTAATTTAATGGTTTATCTGTTTTTAATAAATGATACCCTTACAGTCTTGTGATAATGGAAAATATGGTAAAATAATTTCCCATGTTTGAAAAGTTATATTTACATTTTCAGTTATAACAGATGTTCTTTGTGCCTGTATAATTTTGATGGATTCATCAAAAATCAAATACTCCGATATAAAATAAATAAATACCTTTTCGTGGTAGAATAGCCTTAATTTTCTTTAATATGCATATTGTTTAATGTACACTACCATTAATAGCATCTGATGTAAGTGTTAGTTAATGTAAAATTATTTCAATTACGTACCAAGTATGTAATTACACTTCTGTCACTCTATGTGTATCTCAAATTGACTTGCATGTGTACTATACAATCCCTCAGAAAAACAACTGACCAGGATATGACTTACCCAATCATGATGTTTATATATATATATATATATATATATATATATATACTAAAAGATGTTAATATATTTATATTGTAGAAGGCTGATAGCCTAAAGGGACACTATGGTAACCAAAACTACTACAGCTAAATATAGTTGTTATGGTGCCTATAGCCTGTCCCTACAGGCATATTAATGTAAACACTGCCTTGTTCCTGACACTATAGTGCTCCTTTAACTTCCATCATTCAAACCTGTGTGTACCTATGGTACAAGTAATTTTACAGGATGTGGTAGTCATGTTTCTCCCCATGACATATTTGAGTAATTTTCCCAGTCAGCTATATTTGGCTATATAAGTTCGGCTACATTAAAATTCACCTTTAATTCTCACTGTAGTGAATAACCATCTGAATTTTGTTTTCACAGGGTCATTCACAAAAGTATGAATTGTTGTGAATTCATTGCTGATTTCAAATTTTAGTGTAGAAGGGCATATATGAAAACATTGCTAGAAAATGTTTCCAAATTTTAGTGAACGATATTCATTAAGGTATGTGATAAGCCGCATGGGACCATAATTATTTTAATATGACAGATGCATGACATCATATCCCGGCAGCTGAGTGCTGTGGAGAGAGAAGAGCACAAGACCTGGTGGGACTCGTGTGGAACAATGAGAAAACCCAGTAAGTTTATGGGTGTATATATATATATATATATATTGTCAGGTAAAGTCAGCTGCAGTCATGGTCTTCCATAAAAACACTTCTTTATTGGGTCAGTTCAAAATGATCAACATTTCAGTCTATACACTAGACTTTCTTCAGGATCAGCATAATTAAAACATTGTACCACATGGAAATATATACATACATCAATAAGTGTAAATAAGACTCACCCAGGTGTTGTGCATGTTCAGTGGCGTCCCGCCGGTGCCACGGCACATATGTGCGCGTGCTCTGCCCCCAATAATGATGCAATAGCGCCAATGTGCGATCGCTTCATGCGGGTTGCCATAGCAATGTTTGTATACAAGTGTAACCAGGGTGACGAGCCACTCCCGTGTGGGGGACTGGACCAAAGGATGAGCATAATTGGTATAGCGCAAGCTATACTACAACTGTGAAAAAACAAGTGCATAATGAATGGGGAAATACAAAAGAACAGAATGAATGAATAAACCTCTATCAAAATCTAATCTACTGCGAATAGTGCACTATATTGTGAATTGTCTAGTGTGTAGTGAGTACACCACTTCATGAATAAAGAGCACTGTATATAAAGTGCTAAAGTGTATTTCATTTTTTTATTTTTAAAGTGCCACTACTACTTAAGGTACCTAGAAGTGGCACTGTGAACAAAGTGCCTTCATACTAAAGTGCCACATGTATTTAAAGTGCATACTAATAAAGTGGCACGGATTATAAAGTGCACAAATTATTAAAGTGCAACTACTTTTTATAGTGCAACTGATTTTTAAAGTGCATAATATTTTAAAGTGCCTCTTATTGTAAGATAACTATAACCACAATGCAATACTATACAAAACTGGACTACACATATTTACAATAAATTTAAAAACAAATTAATGTTAGGCTAGGAGCAAAGAAAATTGTTAGATAGTAGTTATAACTTTAAATATTCCATATATAAACACGCAAGAAGAATTCACAGGAATGAATAATAGGGTACCGTCTCATTAAGTCCTTTGGGGACATAGTCTGCAAATTGTGTATCCTGTATGTATATATATATATATATATATATATATATATATATACACTGAGCTTTTTCTATGTACACAAAATACCTATTTCTCTCAAATATTGTTCACAAATCTGTCTAATTCTGTGTTAGTGAGCACTTCTCCTTTGCCGAGATAATCCATCCATTTTATTTTACTTGCACTGCTACACACAGTTACATACCCTTCTTGTTTCTTATTGTAAGCACCTGTTGTGGCCTACTGTCATTAGCAGCTTGCAGATCTCTCTGTGTTTGCAGCTTGGGTCTCGTATCTGTTTTTTTGCGTTTCACTGCTATTCCTGATTTTGGCGTCTCACTGCTATAGCTGGCTTTGGCATTCGCGCTCCTACTAGCTCTGCTGCTATTGCTTACACCAGTATTGCTGAGCTCAACTCAGGCTTGCGCAGCCAGTCTCCTCCCCGTTCCAGTTTTCCGACAGAACACCGCAATCTGTGCATGGCCCCGCCCCCTCAGACTGGACACAGTGACCTGTAGGAGGGATTGGACTGAAATGAAAGGCCACACACAAACACATAGAGCTCAGCCACCCACACTGTAAACAAATACAGTATATTTTATAAGGTAAAAGGGAAATGCTCAGAAGCCAGCAGAAGGAATCGTGCAGCAGAGCACAGGAAGAATCGGGAGCCACGTAAGAAACGCCATAGACATCAGTCGCCATAAACTGTTATGAAACCAATCTTCCAGTCTCCTCAGAGCCTGTGAAAAATTGCAATACATACGGCAGGTGTAACAGAGACGCAGGCCCAACCGATACTAACTAAAGAACGGCTGACGAGTTGTCTGTGTCACGTATTCATCTGCTTATAAAAATGTGGTTAATGACATTTACTGTCCACACAGGAAAAGTTGTGCCGAGCAGCAACCTAATCCACAGAAGGGTTAATGCTGAGCAGCAATTATGCAAATGAAACCTGGTAACTGACTTTGGGGTCAAAGGCCGATTACAGACTAGACGAGGCCCAGTTCTCATCCTGTTCAGTGCCCTGTCGTGGTTTCCCTTGTGGTTGTCCGAGAGCGTGTTCCTGTTTATAGTTTTCTACCTGGTTTTTGACTTTGGCTTTGTTTATTGACTTCTCTATATTCTGGTATCCTGACTCCTGACTTTCCTCATCGCTGCGTCCCTTTCTGTGTTCCCTGACCTCGGCTAGTATTTTTGACTATTCTATGTACGTTGAATCAGGCCATTCTAAGGACCGGCAATCCGTTACTTATTTGTCATTCCGTGCTATACAGTTCTACGTGCTGGATCAAACAGTAATCCTGACAGTCTGGCGACGCACTCAGATACAATCAGAAATTATATAGCAGTTAGTACTTCGGCACTTAAGCAAGAAGTAAAAAGCATTCATGACAAATTATTCATAATGGAAACTAATATGTTTAAATTAGAAACACAATATAATCAGTTGCAAGAATCTTCCACGGTATTAACTGATAAAATCAATATACTGGAAGCAAAACTGAACGATTTGGATGACCGCTCCAGAAGAGCAAATATCAGAATCCGAGGTATTCCAGAAGCCATCACTAGCCATAATTTAAGTAGTTTCCTACAAGAATATTTAGGCTCTTTATTACCAGATGGAGAAGCGCATGACTGTTTGATGGATCGTTTCCATTAACTACCCAGGTCTTATAAAGTACCAGAGTCTTCTCCCAGAGATGTAATTGTGAAATTACACAACTACCATCAGGAAGATAAGTTCAAAAACTCGAGTATATTTCAAGACTTATCTTACCAGAGTAGAAAATGGAGAAGCAATTTTAAACCCATCCTAAATAATTTGAGACAACATAATCTTGCCTATAGATGGGGATTCCCTACAATGCTCAGAGTCATGTTGAACGGCAAAATGGAAAGTTTTGATACACCGGAAAAGCTGGCATCTTGGATAAAAGCTTCCAGTATTCTATGAATAAACTTCTCAAAAGAGAGAAGAAAAAACTAACTAGAAGAGAACAAAATAAAATGGAGAAGAGGAGAAAGACAAACTTTTTTTGGGGGGGGGGCTGATATTGGTTGCTATTGGTTCAATTCATCTTAATAACAGTAGCTTGGGTGGCTATCAATATAATTTAATATTGATGTGTTTGAATCTGATGAAAATCAAAATATATTTACTATTTGATACTGGGCAAAGGAGGTGCTTAGAAAGGTGATATAAAGAATATGCCTTTTTTATTATCATAAGGTCATCCTCCTCTAAAGTCTAAATTTATGAGTGTTTTTTTTTTGTGTGTGCTTAACACAAGTGTAAAAAAACACTAGAGATTTATAACACAATTTATGGGAAATACACTAATGTATATATTACGAGAAGAGAGAAGTTTGATACTTTATTCACAGGAAGAAAATAAGTAGAAGAGTGAAATTGATTCATTTTTTCTATTCTCACTTATTGTTTTTTTATGTATTTTTTCTATTTAACCCCTTAAGAACCAAACTTCTGGAATAAAAGGGAATCATGACATGTCACACATGTGTCCTTAAGGGGTTAAAGAGAAAAAAAGACAGAGAAAAAGGAAAAGAATATATATATATATTTTTAATGGGGTGTTTTACAAGATGTTATAAGACACTAGATTTTTTATAATACAGTCTGCTAAAATAATCACACGAATGCATAATCTACGAGAAGTTTGATATTTTTTTGACTAAAAGTCAAACAAAGAAGAGACTAGAAAAATGGAATTATTAATAGTAATATTTCTTTTTTGTTGTTGCTTTATTACACAGTCTGCAGATAACCACATTAATGTTTAATCTACGATTGAGTAGCATGATATTTTTTGACTAAAAGACACATAAAGAAGACACTAGAAGAATGTATTATTAATATTTTTCCTCTTTCCCTTCCTCTTTTCTCGCGCTCTACACGAGTGTACGGAATAATGTAGCTTTTGTTCCTTTTTTTTTTTACTTGGCTATAGTAGATTAAATACAAAAGATAGAGAAGATATTTTTAAATTTTTCTCTTTCTTTCAAGTTCTCTCCTATATTTATGCCTC